ATTTTCTTAAACAACAGCTCTCCCAGCTGATCCTTCCAAGTTAGCAGAAAGAATATAATAATAAATAGGTGACTGGTGTTCAAAAAAATCAAGTGCTTTTATGTAGACAGCTATGCTGTGGAGCTGGGAAAGAAGGGAATCAGATGGAAATTTCAGTGGGGAACTGCTCCAGTTGGGGCTGATTTGGATGGGTTTATTCTGTGACAAACTGGGGACAGAAGGGTCGCTCAGGGCTACAGGGTGTAGGCAGAAAAGGGGGAGTCAGACTGAGGAGGCACTAGATAAAGGAAATATTTGCATTCTAGCATACAGAATGCTTAATCCTAACATAAGGATAAGCAGGGCTTCAGCAGTTAACAGGCATGTTGGGCTGGGAAATTGATTCAGGACAAGGAGTTCAGCAGCATCTGCTTCTTTCAGCACTTTTTCTTTAAATATCCTAGAATTCATCAAACAGAAGATAGATTACACTTGATAATATAAGCCTCCTGAGGGGATGCTGCTAAAAGGCTGTCAGGAGAAAGAAAAAAAAAGTGTTCAAAGTGTGCATGTAGGGTTAGGGACTCCACATTTCAACTCATCTGCAGCTGGAGATGAGATGCATTTGCATTTGTTCTCCTGGCTGAAGACATAATATTCATTACAAAAGCCATTTCAAAATGGTTCTAAATTGTTCTAGCCTAATTTCTTTTATTCACACATAAGCCTTATAAAATTTAAAATTACATCTTAAAAATAAATTTATATTCAAAAATTTTATATAGCTACATTTCAAATAATTTTGTCTATGTCCAGTAGGATCTGCAGAGAGAATACTTTCAGTTTCAATTGTGTTTGTGTCAGACCTTCAAATAAAGACCAGAATATACTTAATTAACTGTAGTGCTGATGGGTTTTCTGCTCAGAAACCCCTTTACACAAAGTATTGTATATAGAAACAGAAATAAAATGACCCCTGGCCCAGAAAGCTTACTTGTCATGGTTTCAGCATCACTCTACTATGCAAATCAGTGGCTTTTGTTAATGATGACTGTCATTTTCCTGACATTTAATTAAATAGACTTTCTTTGGAGAAATTAAGACAGACAGTAGAAACCATGTTGTTAGGCCCCTCTGTCACAGGGATCTAAGAACATGGTCACAATAGCAACCAGTAAATCCCAACTGCTTTGTAAAATGCAGAAATATAATCTTCAGTACTTTGGATTATGGAGATGTTTCTACTGCCTGTCTTGGTGCTTTGGCTCACATTCCCTCAGCAGAGACTTGTGACACCTCAGGCACTGTCACTCCTCTTGGTCTTTCTTCCTGCTTCACAGAAGTCAGAAGAAGAGCATTTGTGCAGGCACCTCTGCCACTGTTCTTCGGAGTCCAAGGTACTTGTGCAAGCTGCCATGCTGAATTACCAACTGGAGTGTGTTACTCCACTGGGATGGGGTCAGCAACCCCAAGGATGAGGGAATATCTAAATTTGCAAAGCTTTTCTGAGTGCCCACAACACCCATTTCTTGCATTCATTCCTTGTGATCATTTGATGAGTTATTACAATTTTTTGTTTAATTATCTGCATGACCCTTCAACTGTGTTTCCATATGCTAATCTTTCCTACCCTGAGGAATCATAAATAGGATGAAGTTACACATCCAGATGCTTGCAGAACTGGGCCATACACTCAAATGTAATAAACCCAAAGCCAAGCAAAAGTTTGACTAGATCTGCTTTCAGACTAAGCAAGACTAGGTTTTACTCAGTTTCTGAGAGAAGAGTTTCTTAGGACAAGTGCATATTTTAAATGAAATTCAGAAAAGCCACAAAATTAGGAAAAAATTCAATGCTTGGGATGTAGTAGGGATTTTTTTTTCCTTTTATAAAGAATATGCCATCTCTGCTGTCTTTTCATAGTAAAAGTGTCTTTTACTGTTTTTACAGTTGCAAGAGACAAAGAGAAATTACATTCAAAACCAAGTTCTCCATGGAAAACCACCTCACTGGCTACATGGAGGAAAGTAAAATTTTTTACAAACATTTTGTTTGTTCATCTCTGCTACCAATGAATGCTGAAAAGTGTAGCTCTGTAAAACTACATTCTCAAAAAAAAAAAAAAAAAAAAAGAAAAAAAAAAGGGTGGACAAAATATGCTCAACTAGCTCCTCCATGAGACTACATGGCAGAAAAATATTCCTCACTTTTAATCCAAATACATTCAAGGATGGAAAAAATGCTGTATGGAAAACTATCTTAATGGAATTAAAGTGTTCTTCATGTGGAAAATAAACATATTTTAATAAATTGCTGCTTTCAATGGCTGAATTTCTTTTCAGGAAGGTCATAACCATAAAATAGAATACTAATTCTTCCTTCAGAGCAGTGGCAAAAGGGGAACAGAAAATAGGACACTGAAGAGTTATCTTTGACCTCTTAGATGACCTGGCAGAAGGCTGTTGGGGTTTTGTGTTGTCTTGTGGCATCTGGTTTAGGTTTGTTTTTTTGTTTTTTTTTTTTGTTTTGTTTTGTTTTGTTTTTTAAGGTTTCTTTAAAAAAACCCAAACCTGTATTTTTCTCACTTTTTTTTTTTTTTAATTTAGAGGTAATAAATTATCTGCAAAAACATTTAAACAAAACCAATCATGTTAGCAATGCGTTTCTATTAATTTCTAATTTCTTCAGTGTTTCTATCCTTTTTTGACATCTGAGGAAAAATAGGTGCCTACCTAGTTCATTTTCATGTTCAAGCACCTGACTGCTCTGTTCACTACTGTCCTATAGGCATTCAAATAAGCATAGCAGTATGCAAGTCAGGAATGTAAAATATTAATATATTCTCTGCCCCCACCCTCATCTGTTTAAGTGTTAACTTAAACAGCTTTCCTTCTCCTTCTGAAATTTCCTGCCTGTAAAGGAAAGGAACTATCTTGTGGATCAGAAGCCTAAGCCAATCCTTTTCAGAACATTTTTTGCCTGAGTAAAGAACAAAAATAGAATGCAATACAAAAACTGCTGTCAAAATCCAGCTTACTTAGTCCCTTTCCTTGCAGACTCCTAAGCAATAATTTGCAATCTCCTTATTTGGGCTGGTTGATTATTCTGCCATGGAACTTTTCCTCTAATGAGGCACCCAGTGATTTTTAAGTATCTTCTAGCCTACAATATTGTTATACCTACCACCTTCTGAAACCGGACAGTGCAGGCAGGAAGATGTCCTTCTGGACTACCCGTGGTGGCTTCAACTGAGTTTGGGAATTTCGCAGGCCTCTGCTGCCTTCTGATGGTTCTGAAATTCTCTTCCTTCCTTTGGCTGAGCAGTTAATTCACTTCACAGTAGCTAGTATGGGGCTGTGTTTCAGATCTGTGGTGATAATGCAAACACATTTTCCCTATTGCTGGGAAGTGTTTGCACAGTCAAGACCTTTTCTGCTCCTCACCCCAACCCAGCAGCCAAAGGGCTGGGGGTGCACAAGGAGTTGGGAGGGGACACAGCCAGGACAGCTGACCCCAGCTGACCACAGGAATATCCCACACCACATGGCATCATGTTCAGCCTAGAGAGCTGGGGGAGAAGGTGGAAGGAGAGGATGTGCCCAGATACAGCATTTGTCTTCTAAAGGCACCCTTACAAGTGAGGAACCCCAGCTTCCCTGGGGCTGGCTGAACTGAACACCTGCCTGCCCACGGGAAGCAGTGAATGAATTCCTTGTTTTGCTTTACCTGTTAAACTCTATTTATCTCAAGCCACGAGTTTTCTCACTTTTACCCTTCAAACTCTCCTCCCCCACCCTGCTGGGATAAGTGAACTGCATGGGGTTTAGCTGCCAGCTGGGGTTAAACCAAGGCAATGGGTTTAACACAGCAGACACCACCTTTGGAAAGTTCACAATACTGAATTAAATGCCAAAGAATTTGCTAAGGCTGTGAGAAAAGACAATGCCGAACCTGGTGTTCCATCACTCCCACATTTTATTACTTTTACAAAACTGTCTGTGAACAGTTGCCACATGTGTTAAAGATTTACAGATGATGTTAAAAGCAACTAAAAATAAAATAACTTCTCACTGAAAAAACAAACCTTACTCAAGTTAGATAATTTTTAAATAGGAAGATTTAGCTTAAATGGATAAAGCAGAGGTAGAAGTAAAACTTCAAATTTCCAGTGAGAGCACCAATCAAATTCTCAGAATGGCATCACTATCAGTCAGAGAGGTTTTTCCGTTTCTCAGGAAAACGTTTGGATCTCGGTAGGTGGTGCTATAGCCCTTCAATCCACCCGAGGGACTGATTCCAGTGCTGAAATTAATTCCACGCAGTAGTGTGACACACAGTCAGTGTCACTTCACCACTTGAGGTGGAAAGCTGGGGGGAGAATACTAAAAAGAAAACAAAAACGACCAAAATTGTGCTGAAAATGTAACTTAAACATTTACATAAGCCTGTAGTTCAGGTGACATTTAGAGGTCTCATGCCAGGCAGAGGTATCATCATACCATACACCGAAGGAAAGAAAATGGCAATTATGCAAGGGACCTACAAAATTATCACATTGCCATATCTATACAAAAATATAAATAAATAACTGCACAAATATTTAGCTCTTTCTGCAGCCTATTCTAAAGTCCTATGATTATCTGAATAAACACTATAGCAAGTATTGATATTGTTCTAAAGAATGAGTTTTGGCTATAAAAGCTGAACACAGCTGTAAGATGGGTTGTTTACATCCACACTGTGAAAACGGCAAAAATTCTGATCAGAGCCTGCAGGGTGCACCAAGACCCCCCAGGAAAGCTCTGTTTTGGGTAACTCACACACAGCTGTAACTGACAAGTCAAGTCCAGAAAAGTCTGCTGTGTTTACAGTTAATGCAGTTTAAATTTCAGTATCATCTCACCTCAATCAGAAGATCTCTTACAGCCCTGGTTCTTCAGAGGACATAAGAATAATCTTTTCAGATTAAACTGGACATGAACTGTAGATTCATGACACAAGAAATACTTAGGACACACATATCTGGTCAAAGAGCTATACGGCAATTTTATTTGTAAAATACTTAATTCCTAACAGCAAAATACTTTAATTGTACTTTATAAAAGTTAGCAAAATTTGATAAATTTGAAACAGAAACAAGAAAACTATTTCTACTTTAATTATTCCATTTTCTTTTCAAGATGGAAGCTAGAGGTAAGCACCACACTTAATAGAGTTCAGTGCCAGACATGTCATTCAATAAATATATCCTTCTACCATTAAAATCTGTGAAGAACAGTGAAAACAATTCATAAAACAATTGAAAAAATATAAGCAGTTTTGTCTTTTTCTGTGGTTTTGAACTAGTAATATCTATACACAATAAAGTTCTTGGAATTTACAGCAGGACTGTAACAGAACAATTTGTTAATAGTACACCAGAACCACCAAATTTGCAGTACATTTTTACCAAGAAAAGAAAACCAGAAATTCAGTCTGTTTCTTGAATCCTCCAGAAGACCTCTGCAAGGAGGTAGCAGAAGGAACTTAAATTACCACCTGATTTCATATTTGATAAGGCCATTGCATATCCTATGTTACAATTAAAAAGCTGGTCCTATACTCTGTACAATAAAGACTGTATGTTTGTTATGAACAGAAGTTGAAGTGGGAACGAGTTAATTCACTGTTTTATCCTATTGCTAACAAACTATTAAACTTTTGCCTTGGAGAGGACAGACTTAGTTAAATCTAATTCTGCTATGTACAGGTGTTAGTTTAGAAGCCATAGTTTCCACAACTCTCAGAGGTAAAATCTACTCCCTATGCCAGTCTTCCAAGAAGTTTCCTTCTGTGAAGAAATTGGACTTCTGAGACTGCACTCAGACCCAACAAAAGCAGCAAGGCAAGCTCACACAGCACCAAGCCAGTAAGACACTGGGAGGACCGTGTGACTGATGCTGGAAAACATGAACAGAAAAGTTACACCAACTGTATGGAGCTCAACAAGGGCCAAGTGCTGGGCTCTGCACCTGAACAGGGCAACCCTGGCTGCATGCATTAACTGGGGAATGAGAAGCTGGAGAGCAGCTATGGAAAGGGTCCTGGAGGTCCTGATTGATGCCAACTTGAGCATCAATCAGCAGTGCCCTGTCAGCCAAGAGGGTCAGCCAGGTCTTGGGGGGCATCAGGCACAGCATTGCCAGCTGGGAGAGGGAGGGGATTGTCCTGCTCTGCGCTGCACTGGGGCACCCTCACCTCAAGTGCTGGGGGCAGTTTTAGGCACCACAATGTAAGAAACACATTCAGCTATTAGAGAGGGCCCAGAAGAGGGCCATGAGGATGGTGAAGGGTATAGAGGAGAAGCTGTATGAGGAGCAGCTGAGGTCACTTGGTTTTCATCAGCCTGGAAGAGACTGAGGGGAGACCTCATTGTGGTCTTCAACATCCCCACAGGGGAAGAGGAGGAGCAGGTACTGATCTCTTCCCTCTTATGAGCAGTGACAGCACCCAAGGGAACAGCCTGAAGCTGTAGCAGGGGAGGTTTAGGTTGGATATCAGGAAAAGGTTCTTCACCCAGAGGGCAGGTGGGCACTCGCAAAGGTTCCCAGGGAAGTGGTCCTATCACCAAACCTGACAGAGTTCAAGAAGCACTTGGACAATACTCTCAGGCACACGGGGTCATTTCTGGGGATGATCCTATGCACTGTCAGGAGCTGGACTTTATGATCCTGATATGTCCCTTACAACTCAGCAGATTTTATGATTCTATGATTACTTCCTTTTTTGAAAACAAACAAACAAAAAAACCCCAAATAACAAAGAAGCTACCCAACAAAACACCCCATTAACTTCTGTACAGTTACCATTGTTGAATTCTAACTTACAAATTAAACTGAGCAAGATGTGAAGTTTGTTAAAAATAGCTTGTTTGTTTTTTTTTTTTAATATATAGCTTAGTGCACTAATAAATCTTAGTCTTGCGTAGACACAAAGGAAAGGCAAGGGCATGAACATTTATTATTGATAGATGCTTTTCTGGGCCTCATACACCTACAAGGGATTTGCTAAAAATGTGAATCCTTGGCCACAGTAACTATGAGATGGTGAAGTTCAGGACCCTGAAGAAGTATTTTCCTTAAATTTCATTAAGAAAAACCAGAACCAACCACCGGACTAGGTTTTTTTGTCCTTTTAATAGAGCTAAATCAGAGGAAAGCAGTAACTGATTCCTTGAGAGGATACTTGGAATAGAGACTAGACTGTTAAAGAAATAAAGTAGGTATTTATTAAAAGGCCTTGAAAGGATACACCTTGGGCAGTACAAGAGCCTGGCCAAAGCTACACCCAAGATGGACAATGGGTCACAAGTTTTTGCACTTTCATAAGTTTTGGTCAATTTAAATATTTTGGTTAATTGTCCAATTACAGCTGTAGGTTACGAAGTCCCATCCTCCCAGTTTGCTCTCCTCAATTCGCTGCTGTTTGTACCTTATGGGCCTGAAGCTGCAACAATGTCCTTGGTGGGACATTGGAAAAGTATTGTTGGCTGGAAAAGGATTGTTTTGTCTAACTAAACTGTGATGAGAACTTGCCAACATTTTAGTTGGAGTTCAGAATTCTATACTAATGCAGAGTTATATACTAATACAGAATCTGGAAAATATGAAAGCTTAAGGCATCATTCCCCCATACATTACCATCTGTACTTACATTGTTGTCTGCCTCTTATCCTCAAAAAACACTGATACCGGAGGCAAAAATGTGAGAGATCATACAATCATTAAAGTTGGAAAAGACCTCAAAGATCATCAAGGCCCAATACAACAAGCTTATTAAATGCGATTAAAAATATTTTTTCCTTTCTGACATTTTCACTGAAGATATCCAATTGTCAAAGCAAATTTCATTCCTCACACATAATGAGATAATTTAGCTAGCTATGATTCACCCTCCAAGGAGGACCACTCTTTCTTCTTCTCCTTTCCATCTGCTTCTGCTGAATTGATGCACAATGCATCTTTTCTAACCAGATTAATCTTTCAGATTCAATGAATCATGAGAAGAAGATTCTTTTAGGAGAGAGCACATTGCAAATGCTAGAGGGAACACTGAAAATAATTTCTGTGGAGCACAAACACCACCCATGCAAAGATTTAGGGCTCCCAAGCCACCTGCTAATTTTGGTCTCATGAAGTGATGCTATTTAGTGCTGCTGACAACTCAGTTGAATATGACAGCTCAATACTACAGGCTTCTACACAGAATTAATAAAAACCTGCTAAATTAAGATTTGAGACAGATGCTAGAGAACTTTAATCTGAGAGATGCTTTCCACTGGCTTTACGGGAGTGGGATCCTCTGGGGGACTCTGCACTCGAGGGCGGCACTGCCGGGGCTCTCTGGCGGATTCCAGACGTCGCCTTTTTAAGCTCATGTCTGAGACTGCGGATTGTGCTGTTTATGGCAGCCACGCATGCCTTCCAATCAAATCCACTTTCATTTAGATCAAAGGAGGGAAAATTCTCTTGAAGAAAGTCTAAAAATAAACAAGTATGTAATAGTGAATTATCAATTATTTAGGCAAGCTATAAACTCTTTCTGGATGTAACTAAGCTAAAACAAGTGCATGCTACCAAACGAGGACGGCTAGGTATATTGCAAGCCTTGAAAAGCAAAGCAGGGCAGATACTGTTTTCCCTCTTTCTGTTATATTTGTTATATTTGAAAATAAGTAAGAAAGGTCTAAGCATAAAAACAAAATATTAAAAGAAAACATGACCATGTGTGTGGTTTTGATCCTGTGAAGTGCTGAGTAACTTCAGTTTTTAATGCGGTCAGGTAGCAAAGACAAAACTTGGGCTCCATTTCAGAATGACCAGTATTAGGCAGGACAAGCTCTCCTTCAGAGGATCTCTGACAACTATAATCACTAAAATTAATCACAGCAGTTCAGCATAACACAGATGTACAGGAATAACAGTGACAGAAAAATTGTGAGAGCTCATTTCTTACCATACTGCAAGTAAGATCAGAAAACAAACACTTGAGTTTGGTAGCAATGACATAAAAAGGATAGGACTATGGTTACCTTTCTCCCCTTCCATGAGTAAAATTAGTAGTTTAAAACTAAAATTAAAATTGGGTTTTAAAGTTATTGAGAAGTGATTGTCCTGCTGAGCTGAGCTGAATTACATGTCTTCTCTAAGCAACCCAGTAAAAGACTTAAACACCAAAGAGGAATTCTCACCTGTAGTTTCAAATCAAGGCAATATTGCTTCTCCTTCTCCGATTAACATCTAGATTTATCTTCATAGTAGAAAGAAAGGTATAACTAGTAGATCTTGTGCTAGCTTTGCTCTTCCACATACAGGCAAGTAAAAATCTAATATAGCATCATTGTTTATAGTTAATATTTTAACTTGTAGTTACAAACCTGGAAACCCATTTTGCCAGAAAAACTCTGGTCTGAAGGAAGAAAGTAACTGAGATAAAAACCTGTGCTCTTGCAGTTCACTCTGCTCCAGGAGGAGAGGTGAAAGGGAGAGTAAGTGTGCCTTAGGATGCTCCTGTTATAAACTATGCTGACAAAGGATACATTAGCTGTTGGCTAAAGCAGCAGACAGGCTCTCTTTACTTATCCATCCCCAGCAGTAAATTCAAGAATACTTGACCTCAAAGGATCAGCATAGAACCGGAATTCTTCAAGGTCTACAGAGCTTTTGTACATGGTCCACAAAACAGCTTTTAAAGTTATGTTTCTTCTTTCACCAAAACGGACCGATTTTGGGGATTATAGTAAGGCTATGCAGGGTCCCTTCCTGCTCTGCAGGGTAACATTCAGGGAGCTGGTGCTGCCATCCAATCAGGCTGTGTTAAAGGAAACGGGCAGGGACTGTCCCCTGGCTCCAAAGCGAAGTGACAAGGCCTGGCTGCAACACACAGGATTTGCCTCTCATGTGCTCTGTGGCCTACATGGTCTTCTCACAGTCCTAGGACACACTTCCTAGATCTTTTGACTGCTTCTTAAGCTCAAAAAAAAAAAAAAAAAAAAATATATATATATATATATATATATACAGGCAAAGTTTCCAGTGCTAGTGCTAGTGCTTGCCATACTGGAGATGATTTCTGGCATGCTCTGTCTGTCCCTCAAGCTATGCCCAGACATCACTCCAGCAGGCGTGAGTCAAATAAAACCCTGTTTTATTGAGCATGAACACTGTTCCCTCACACGCAGTCCTCCTTCCCCACTTCTCTCCCCCTTCCCAATGGTGGGGTGGGGGAACAGGACAGGGAGGAAGAAGGTGAGCAAGCACCTCTGTGTGTTTAGCTACCTGATGGGTTAAAACAAAACAGCTGCTAAATTCCACTTCATAAGCTATCCTTGTTTCCAATCTCTAAATATGGCTTTTTGCTCCAGGGCTCAGTTATTAATTCCCTCAGCCCAACCTGTCTCTCCGTAACTCAGTTCTTCTAAACATCAAGATGAACTCTTGTGTGCTTGCAGAAGGCTGTTCTTAAAGATCTGTCAACTTTCCTGAGCTTCCCTCCTATTCAGAGCTGTCTCTCACAAGCTCCCATCTGTGACTTTCCCAAATATGTCAAAGTGTGCTCTCCCAAGCTACAGAGCCTGTATTCAGACCCTTACTCTACTCAGGACCTCGGGGCTCATGATTTCATAATCTCTACAGTCAATGCCACCACCAATTATCCCACAATAACCCTTTTTGTGAAGGAAACCATAACCTGCTGTACATGACATCTCTGTTCTCTGCTTCATCTACACAGCCCCAGTATCAAGAAATTATCTCTGATGTCCTCCAGAATCCTCAGGAACTGCTCCCATCTCCCACTGCATTGCCCTTTCAAGCCAGTGTCAAGACAATTGAGTTTTCCCCTACAAACCAGGTTCGTGATCTGGACAATTTCTTGAGCTACTTAAATATCTTTATCTGCTTCCTCTCAATTTGTTCCACTGCTTGCAGAAATGCCTATATTTTCACAGACTAATTTGTTCAGACGATACAAAGTTAATACTCTTATTAGTTTCCCTACATTATGATTTAACAGAGATTTTCTTACTTACCTCTGAGAGCATTAATTTTATTGGAATCCAGTGGGCTCATGCCACGATCAAGACTACCATACACATTGCTTTTCACCAGCACCTCTTCAGGGAACATATGACGAATTAGGAAGCGAGCTGACAACTCTGGCCGTGTCTTCCCCTTAGCGACGTAAATGACCGAGAAAGGCAACAGAACATTGCGCCACGGGCTCCCAAGAGGCTCTGGAGAAGATGTCATGGAGGGAAGAGAGATATTTTACTCATCTAACACTGACCATGCCTCAGAATTGACACAAAAAGCTCACCTGGAAACTACTCTACTTGATTGGAAAGACCAAAGCAAAACTGTAACAGTACAGCTACTGCTGACATGAAACATATTGCAGATATTTAGCCAAGCAGCCAGAACACCATGCCTGGTTTACAACCACAAACAGTACTTCTGATATATCTTCAGCAATGCAAGCTGCATTTTTATTGCTTTCTAACTTGTTTCATCTCATGTGAAAAGATGATGCTTTTCCAAGTACGCAAGTAAATAAAAATTCTGCTATTTCAGTGGTGCTTAGATTCAGCTAGTGGAAATGGAGTGAATATTTTTCAACTATTTCTACCTCACTTCACTGCAAATATTAATAAGACAAAATGCAAAATGTTTAGTACATAAAGAGGTCTGTGGGATCTGACTAGCAAATCTTGGGTGCAAGAACAGATCTGAAACAACCCCAAAGTGATCCTAATTTAATAGATTACTTCCAACAGCAACAAATCTCAATCCATTTTCCTTGAGGGTCTCTAAGCATCACATGCTGTACATGGATGTTTTTCCCCAATGCATTTGTGCATTGAACACTTACATTAAAAGAAGTGAAAACATAAAGACTGCTTTAAGATTTTTCTTGACCAAAAGAGTCAGTTTTGCAGAAAGGTGTGGTTTTCCTTCTGAAATTGCAACACCATTCAATAGATATTCTGAGCCGGCTTACATTTTTAAGGCAGAATATCTACCAAATAAAAGAAAAAAGCCAGGGCAACTGAACAGAGTAACTGAACTTCCCAATGTCACAGCAGATATACAATATGGGACTCTGGTGGATGCAAACATATATTGTGTTAGCCAGATATAATGCCCTTATTCATTCCCAAAAAGACTTACTATGTGTGCACCAAATGACTGCCTTAACAGAAAAAGAAGACTCACATGTTCAGAAAATCCCTTTACTACCGAATTATACCTACAGCTCCATCTTTTGCTTCTCATTGACTATTTAAAACGTAACAACTAATTCCAGAACACAAAAATTTCTTTGTTTACCCATAGGTTCCAAAGACTGATGTCTTCTGACCAACGATGTGTGGAAAGCTTCTGAAAACTTATCCAATTCTGAATTCTGCAATGTGTCAGTTGTGGAGCCGGTCATTTTCTGAGAATTTTGATAATTGTCTCCTCTATCTTCATTATAATTTAAATCTACACAATGAGATGTATCAGGAGCATCAGACACTTTTTCTTTCCTCTCATTTGTCTGCTGAAATAGTTAATGAGGTTAGTATACACACTGAGAGAAGCCTACCAGTTTTCTAATTGGTGTTCCAGTTTACTTCACATTTAATATAAATCAGATTTCAGATCTTTTTAATATAGTTACTCCTGAATTTCTACAATGAAAACCACTAGTAGAATAGTTAAAAATTATAAAAGATGTGCACAGAGCATTTTAGAAGTAAATGTAGTTGGAGGTGTTTTGGGAGTAATATTTCAGTCAATATAAGACTGAAATGCATAGCTGAATATATCTGGAAAAAAAAGCCTAAGAAAACAGGTGCTAAGAGCTACTTGTTTAAGCTCTCAATCAAATCTGACACAACTTCTGGGCAACATTTGCAGTACTTTCCTTATAGTATCCTGTGCCTGAACACTTCTTAAGTCAACTCTGGACACAGAAGCAGGAAGGGGCAAAGCAGAAAACAGCATATTCCAGTATTCCCCAAATGGAACCAGTGCTGCACTTGTACCATGAGCAGGTCAAATAATCAGTCTGGGAAAAAAGTGCAAACTTAGTACTTAATAAATCATCACCTTTGCTTTGGTTTCAGAGCGTAAGGAGCGGATCATAGAATTGACATTTGTGATGCAGGTTTTCCAGTCTTTTCCATGCTCGCTCAAATCATAGGTTGGAAAGTTAGTTACAAGAAACTCTGCATATAAAATATAGAAAATGTTTGAAGCGTCATTATAAAGCCCAGTATTCAGAAGTATCCTAATGCAGAAAGAGAGAGAAAGCTAACTAATACTTCATATATTTGCTGTTCTCCATTTACAAGCTTCAGATTTCCATCAATAAATATAGTAAACTTGTGTTTTGAAAATAACCAGCATTATGAATTCAAGATGTTCTGTGATACTTTTTGAGATGTTATGAATAATGCTTCTATTATATTAAACATTTCCTGGTAGAATAAGGGGAAATGTGTGATTTATCATATAAACTTTAAAAAAAACCCCAAAACCAACACTGCCACCATCCCCCCCAAAAAGAAAAGACACAGGAAAATCCTGTAGATGCAACTATTTCACATGGCTTATATAATCTCATACTCAATTTTAACCCTTTAACACATACATGCCATGGGACCTGTGTAAATGACTTGACATTTATTAAAAAAAAAACTTTTCATCTTCACTACTTCTCACTCAACATAAGACTGTTTCAAAAACACCAATTAATGTTTGTCTCAGGTATACAAAGGCCATAATCAAGGTTGACCCAAATCAACCAAACAAAAAAACACTGACAAAATCCATGGCACACACAAACACAAAATGAACTGCAATTAAAAATCTAGAGACAGCAAGCATGACTGATGAACACAATGTACATAAAACTAGAAGAAATTTGAATAGTTATATTTAAATTGGAGAAAAACAAACATTGAGAATTACAAAACAGGACTTTCAAAACAAAAGGATACTCTAGAGTGGAGCACATCTACTATGGCATCTATCTGCTCACCAGCTGCCAGAAAATGATTAGCCAGAAACATACAGGAAAGGACTCCTTTTCAGTTCAAAAACTTTGTTAAGTATGAAAGAAGTAAATCTGTGCATTTTGAAAGGTAACATACCTCTTATTGCAGCAATTTTGTTTGGGTCCAATGTCCTGCGCCCTCGTGCACTCGCTCCCATAATGCTGCACAATAAAGTTTTCTTGGGGAACAAGACACGAACCAAGTGGCGTGCTGCATACTTGGGTTTAGTCTTTTGCCGAGCCTTCACCAAATGGTTTCCAAGAACTTTTACATTTCTTGCTGGGTCACCAACAAACTCTTTTGTAAAACAAAAATATTCAAAGAAAAAAAAATTAAAATCTCAAATGAACTGTTAAAAACAGAGCATTTTTTCAAACTCTTGACTCTCGGAGTATGTTCTCTATTACAATTAATTTTATTACGTATTACTACTTAGCCTTGCTCTTACAAAAGCAGCTTTAAATTGGAATGGTAGCAGAAGTACCTTTTTGATTCATATTAACCACCAGCATAATTAACTGAAATCAAAACACCCAAGAAAACACATTAGACACCCAACTGTCCACAATGTTCACAATGGCCTATTTTTTTTTGTGCAGATAGCAGGTATGTTTTCAAGATACTGACTCATGAAGAGTGGCATATCCATACACAGAACTGCTAAATCATAAATGGTTTACAAATTTTTAGATAGATATCTGAATATTTCACCTACTATTTATGCAGCTCTTCAGCTGTACAAATGTATTTTTTAGACCAAAAGCAATGAAGTCATAGCTCAGCCTTGCATATAAATCAGGGCATTTAGACTTTAGAAAGGCATTAGTTTTTAATACACGGTGCTATTTGACATGTGTATCTTTATTATAATGCAATGATCTATAGAATTCTTGTTTTTCTTTGGAATGAAGTATTTTGAAAGAAACCGAACACTAGAGTATTTGAGTATAGAAAGGAAGTTTCAGGATAAAATCCCACATAATGAGAAAACAGATATTTCCTTCACACAGATCAGGTAAGCTGCTTTCTTAAAACATGCATATAGGCATATGCCTCACTTAGTTTTAGTGGCAATATCTTTTGCCCCCTCCAACACATGGGTAGCGTGCACATATTACTTGTGAATTATACACAGAATAGAAAAGATTACATTAAGAGAGAAAAAGAGAGCCTAGAGTTAAAAGAACCCAAAGCACCTACTGTAAATCAAAGGCTTGTGGTAGTACCAGCCACTTTTTTAGCCTTTGTCTCTGTGTATTTATCACAAAGGAACTCACCAAAGCTAGGATTGATGAAGACTGAAGAAGATGGTAGTTCTTCACTAATATTCACATCCTCAGATGCATTTCTGTAGTTCAACTCCACAGCATTATTTTCCTGACTGGGCTCAGATGGTGCTGGTATCGATGGTGATGCCACGGGTGAAGATGCAATGTTGACAGTACTTTCCACAATACTGGGAGCAAGATTTGATTGTGGTGAAAGGTCAGGCATCCCATTAGTTGTTGTGTATGATGAATGTAATGAATGCGTAGAAACTATAGTGGGGAGTGGTGGGCTCTGCCTTCCAACAGGCTGCTGAGATTCGAGCTGAAAACTCTGTGGGGCATGTTTTACCTTGGAGTTGACTTGAATGTGGCCATTTTGTAAAGCAGTCCTTACAAGTGGGCTATGCCTTCCCTGGCCTGATGAAGAAAGATGAAGACTTAAATCTCTTTCCATGCGTTTTTGTACTCTTATTTTTCCTGAAGGCAAATGACTGGAACTTCTGTATGTAAATCCAACTGGTTTCTGCAAATGTGATTCAGAAAACAATTAAAAGGTTAAATTACACATAGCTGATAAGTTTGAGGTTGTTTTTTTTTTTAGCAAACCAGGAAAACCAGATTTTAGTAGTGATGCTATTAGCAACATACTCTTCCTTGAAGTAGTCTCTGTCATCAACTCAGAGCTACCACATTTTAGTTTTCCCTCTGCTATGTTCTATTCTCATTTGTATCTGCAACACTAAGAGTTTATCTGGTCAGCTTCAACGTTTCTCAATTTTTTTCACCTGGTGGGGGCAAAACTACTTTCTAGACCTCTATTAAAAAGTAAATAGGCAAAATAAAATTTAATTTTTTTCAGTTATTTACCCAGTCATTGGCAGATGAATTTTCAAGGAATGTGTCCACTGCCCTGCTTAGCTCCTTTCAAACAAGAAAAAAAGCCCAAACACTTTATCTTCTTTATTTACTTGTTAGCTGAGAACATTAAACATTCAAATCTCTTCTACAATGAAGATTACAAAGGGACTGAAATGGAAAAACTGAGAGATAGGCTATGTTTTCCTTCACTTCAAGTACTTTTATTAAAAATCATACAGCATGCATTCTAGATCAAAACACAAGTTACTGAGCAGGAGCCATCAAATGAAGATGACACATGTGGATTTGTTTTTCTTATTTTGTTTCATTTTGGTGGTTTTGCATGTTTCTTTAGAGAAATCTCTTTCAACCTTGTAACCTTAAAAAAAAATCTATGACCTTAAGGAAGTCTTATGTATCTGAAAGTTTGTCAGTTTCTCCAGATTTGGAATTCATCTAATAAAAAAGGTACCTTTACCCCAAACCATTCCATTAGCTCTTCACAAGTATAGCAACGGTACAGCTATAAAAAAACCCAGCACCAGTCCTGATGGTTTAAAATGGCAGGTCCTAAGAAAGCAGCTGGCTAAGCTAAAAGCCTTCAGGAAAAAAAAAAAAAAAAAGCAGTGCAGGTCCCTTTTAACCCAAAAATACAAACATTAAAGCAGCTGCCATCCCACATATCAGAGGGGAGGGTAAGAGCACAGAGGTCTTACAGGGTTCATTCGTATTTGACAAGATCAGTTTATTCCCTGAAACTCATGGTAGACAGCACAAGCTTGGAGTATAAAAATACATACCAAATAAAACCTAGTATCCTACTGATAGCTGACAGGTGTGAGAAATCCAGCTCCACCCACTCCTAAAGCAAATGGCCTTACTGCTGCCCTGACATCTCCTGACAGCAGAATCATCTCTGCCACATTAAAAGCTTTGTAGTGTTGATGACAAAGAAAGTCATTATGGATTTTATAACCTTTTTCAAAAATCATCTGTTACACTTTCCTTTTAAAGATCATTGTTAGAAGTACTAAAATTGTGTCTCTTTACTTAACAGTAGATTGACCCTTTAGGAACAAAATGAATACTGTGTACTCAATAACAAACATTATTAAAAATGTTTCAAAAGGAGTTTCCATTAAAAAAAATAAATTCTATACCATAATGGATATGACAATATACTGTTAAGATATGAAGTTCTTTAACTCAATTTAACCAACCTGACTGATGCTTAAACTCTCTTCTAAATGCAGAAACCAGTAAGACAACACATCACATGTTGCAAAGGTGCAACAGCAATATACTGAAGTTTAGGATGTACCTACACAATTCACTTCTGTTCATGCCAATACAAATAGAATTTTACAGCATCTATCACAGCATCCTGAATTTGATGGGAGTCACTGCCAATCTGTGGCCACCAGTCAATAACACAGGAAACTGAAGCTGGCACATAATCAGTACTCTCAAGTAATTGAATTGAAAAAGATTCTAAGTCTACTATTTCATTCCTTACTTTAATCTTAGTGAAAGGACTGGCATTTTAAAAATAAGCATCAGAGGAAATGAGAGAATTAAAGCAAAAATAAACGTCTCAGGTCTTTGATACTCACAGGTTTGAGCAAGAATGGCTTTATACGTGTATGCTGTATTTCCGAGACCTTACGATGAAGCAAGTCAAATTTTTTATCCAACGTCTGAATGGCATCATACATGGCCTGTCAACAAATATAAGGCTGAAAATTGTACTGTTTCACCTAAAGAACCCAACCTAAACCTGAAGAAAGTTCAATTAAAAGCTGAACTCCCTCCCTAAAACTTAGCCAACTTCCTTCCACAGCACTGCTGAATGCTTAAGGAGACTTACAAGACATTAACACTTGTCTACAAAACACTTACAAATTGATTTCCATTATGCATGGCCTGAATGACTCCAGTCACACAAGTGCTCACCTGAATAAATATAGGATGCTTTTAATTTTTAGTAAAGTTATTTTCAATTTTGCCAGTTACTGCTTCAGAAATCAAAAGGAAAGAACTCATAAAACCAACACTAGCAGGATTTTTGGCACGCCTTTGGCAAGCAACTTGTACATTCAATAGCTGGGTGTGTATCACTGCCCTATCTTCCCCATTACTGTGAAGCTCCTCCCAATAACTAAACTCTACATTTTGTATTAAAGCTTAATATTTGAAAATTATTCTTATGAAAAGTTAAGAGAATATGAAGGAGATTAGTTTTACTTTGAAAATATTGTAGTTATGTAGGCAATTAATAAGCAAAGAACTAGAAAGGATCACTTCACTAACTGTCAAGTTTATAATACAACTCTTCCTGAAGTTTAACAAAAATTGTTTAAACACCATTTCAGATATAAAGGAAAAAAAATACCTGGCAATAACTGAGGACCTCCATAAGAGGATTCTGCTGATATCCAGTATAAGAAGCTTCAGATAAAATGCTTTCCTTTTTCATTAAAATAATAATAAACATAAAAAAGAAAAAAAAAAAAGCAAAAGAAAGAGTGTAAGATACCAATATATACATAGGCTTAGGATATCACATTAAGCAAGCAAATCCCAACTTCAAATCTCTCATGTTACTTCAGTCTACCCCAAAACATGCATCCCTAAAGCAGCTTTTCAAAGTCAAACAAAAGAAAATTCACTTAAATTCACTTACACATTCATAGTCTGGTTCATACTCATAAATGACACTGTCACTATCTTCATATTCTTCTTCCGTGGTTCTCATCTGGGAAATAACATAATTAACATTTAATGTTTTGAAAAGTTAAAGAATTCTCCCAGGAATCCAACTTGGACTCTTGTGGTTGTAGCTGTAATTCCCTCCCTTGGCTATAAGGGGGGGGCCAAGAAAACAAGACCTACCACGGTCATCTTATTTATGTACAGGTGTGTTAAGGAAACTTTCCTGTCTGACCATGCAGGAGACACTCTGGTAGTCACCCAGGGACTGTAATTGCTGGGGCTGAAGCCCCTTTGCAGTGGGTGGCTCAGATGCCCTGCCTGACTCCCTACACACTCTATGTTCACAGTCAGAGGTTTGCTCACCAGCTTGACCCTGGACTTGCTATAGCAGAGTCTCAGACCTCTGGTTTCTTCAAGTAATTTTAGCATGGTACAGGAACAGGACATATATATATTATATGTATATATATGTATACATACATGGAAAATTATGTGCTTTTTTATTTCTTTATTCTAAGGCAGAACATTCTCATATAACTAAACCTACTATACAGCCAAGCTTATGCAATCACAGAATCATGGAATCACTTAGATTGGAAAAGACCTCTGAATCCAAATTATGAGACTTCAGTGGGTATAACTGAAAGCAGAAGCTGTAAACGATTTCTAAAGAGGCAATTTTCTCACAGCTTGCAAACTGCTTTTAACCAGGAAGAACGGTGCCACCACCTGGACAATCCTGGCATTTTCCTTTTCTGGATGGATGCCGATCCCATCCACCACTCACCACAAATTTAAAATGTCTTCTGATGGTGTTTTCTTTTTTTTTTTTTTTTTAACTGAACAAATTTTATTTTAGAAAAGGAAGGTTGGGATGGGGGTAGGCGATGCTTCTGTTTCATCTAAAACAGGCAGAATTCAGTGACAGGTAAAATTGTGGAGATTATTTTGGGAGATACTGAAAAACACCTGAAGGACAACCGAGTCATCAGTCACAGCCAGCAGAGTTTCAGAAGGGTAAAGTCCTCCTTGTCAAAGTTAATTTCCTTTTATGACAAGATGACCCACCTAGCTTCAAGGGAAGTCAGATGATGTAATTTGTTTGGATTTTGGTGAAGCTTTTGAAACTGTCTCTCACAGGACTCTCTGTACAAAATGTCCAGCCCACAGCTGTTTAACATCACAGCATGAGCGAGCAACTGGCCCATGAGCCAGGCACAAAGGGTTACAGAGAATGGGGTGACATCAGATTGGGCATCTCTCACTAGAGGGGTTCGCAGGGCTCCAACCTGGGCCTTCTGCTTCTTAACATCTTCATAAATGATGTGGACACAGGACTGGAAGGGAGACTAAATTTTCTGATGACATTAAGTTGGAATGAGCCGTTGACTCCTTTAAAGGCGGAGAGGCCTCGCAGAGAGATCTGAACAAATCAGAGGCTGGGCAACCACCAACTGTATGAAGTTTAACAAGGACAGTTCTGGATTCTGCACCTGGGATGGGGCAACTCTGGATGTGTGGACAGACTGCAGAGTAGGAGGTTGAAGACTTGCTAGAAGCATCCAAGCATAGATTTTCTACCCATATTCAGTGGGATGTCATCAAATCACCACACAACAGTGGAAATAAAAATTATATTCCAAGTAACATTGAAACTAGTCTCAAAATGGAGGGCTATTGTTTGGTGAAACATACCACGTTGTGTTCCACTAGAGCAGGAGAAAGTCGTTTTCTTTTATTACGCAAAAACACAAAATCCATTTTCTCAGGGCTGTGACCAGTTCCTCTCTGCATTGCAGAATGACTCATTTGTGAGGCCGTTTGATCAGCAAGCACTGGCAAGCCTTCACTTCCTGTTAGAGTGACAGAAAAGCTCATCAGAAAGTTTCCCACTGCATTAAATATTTCACTACAGTAAAAATAGGCACAGTCACCTTTTTTTTTAAACTTTCAGACTGATTATTTGAAATTTGTTTACCAGCATATTATCAGTTATTTATTGAATTAATTTGAATCAGAAATTATAAGTTCTATTTAGTATTGCTTTTTTCAAACATAATGATATTTTTTAAAGTGCCAGTAAAAGTAATACTGACTTTGTGAGCATAAATGGCTAAGAAAATATTAAAATAAAAGGTGTTTTTCAGCAGGCAGGGAGAAATAAAAACCTCGATCTCTCTCTGCATGATGTTGAGCTTGCTCTGACAGCTTCTTATAGCAGACAAGAAGATACAAGACAAAAGAAACTCATTTGGACAGACAGAATGAGACCTGAAGGAAAGGCACTGCTCTATAAGATACCAGTCTAAGATGTGGTTGACTAAAACCAATCTGACAGAATTTCAGTTCAAAGTTCAATACTCACATTTGAGATAAACCTGTGGTGTGTTTCACTCATATGTCTCACTATAGTTGATTTTAACTAGACAGTATGTAATGCTAATACACCCAAAGATAACAAAACCATATTTTACCTTTTAAGAAACAACTGCTCTCATCGTGATTAATAATGAAATAATTACTCATGTCCCAAAGCCAAGGTCAACAACTGTCTATGACAGCTTCTTGGACAGAAGTTTTAATTTTGGTGGGGTTGTTTCTTTGCTTATTTTCAATAACGGAGACAAAACCCCCAGTAAACCATCCAAACCATCCTCCACTCCCAAATTTGTTTTTAGATGTAAACATATAGACAACTACAGAATACTCTAAGCCAATTAGAACACCAAGAAATCTAAAGGTTCTCAGACGCACCCAGCAACACTAGGAAACATACGTAGCTTGTGTCTGTGAAGAGAAATACTGATGGTATTCTCTCTAGAGTTAATTGGCTGAATTTTAAAAGAAATCCCCCAAACTAGAAAGTGCCTTCATTTACTGTAATTTTCCTCACTGACTTTGTAATACTGCTACAGAACTTTATAAACGCTCATAAAAGCTGTGAAGAATTTTTGTCTGGGCCAATGAAGCATTGGGTAAGATTTCTTGAAAGACTTTGATCTTGCACGTTAAAATAAATGCAATGATTTAAAGACAATCACAATGGCTACTTACCGCTAATAATTTATCATCTTAAACAACCATCTAGCTATCATTACACATCAGCATCTCCAGTATTAAGTTATACTGGATAGATTGCCTAAAAACCTAAAAAGCCTAGAATTTTTTAGGCTAGGTTCTTTCATGACATTTATTTTCCAAATTGCTTCCTAATTTTTTCCTAGGTATACTTAGCTTTACAAGTAAGTAAAAAGTTGTCTTTTTAAAACATAGTATTTTAGCAGGCTCACCATTTATAAGGGTACAGAAAGTAATAACTAAAAGGCACTTTTCCTTAAAGGCACTGCTAAGCAATTTCTATAAAGTAGCTTTCTAATAAAGCATGTTTTAAAGATACAGGTAATATAGAAAGCACTGAATCCAAAAGCACGGAACATATGGCATTAAAACTAGCCATTAACTATCAGATCACAATAAAAATGAACAGTAATTACCATAGGCAAGTTGACTCATGTGGTGAACAGAACTGTTTCCTTCAGAGTTCTGTTGCACTGGCATGCAGCTTTGTGCGGACAGTCCGTTGTCTCCATGGTCCATAACCAGTGCTTCATCCTCCTCCTCAGTCTTCACACACAAATAATCTATTAGCAGATGCAGAAAGATAAACAGTTAAGACTGCAGGCCATTCTGCGTATCAGATGACAACTGTAGTGGCTGTATCACACCTAGCATTATCTCAGTTGCACCACAGGCTATTGTAAATTCAGCTTCACTTTAGCATCTGAATGCAAAGCCACTTTTAAACACAGACACTGAGGTTTTAACACACACTAGAATGGAGGCAGCTTAGTATTGTTTAGTTGGTGGGATTTCTGATACCGTTCAGCACTCAATTCTCCCTAAAGTGTCCAGCTTCAACAAGAACAGTTACAAGCCAGTAACAAGCACTTCTACAAACTATACTGTTTACATATTCAAGCATATGAAAAAATTTATTAATCTGGTCTTGAAATTTGACTTTCATAATTAAGACTTGCTTAATACACTTGAACAAATCAGTCTACATATACTACTGTATACTTGGTATTAAGATCAATCCAAACATTGACTTCCAATGCAATACTGTGCAGAAACACTGAATGGCAAATCTCCAGTAGCAGATTTTTTTCAAATTAAACATGCTACCTCAAGAGAAAAATGGTTTCAGAATAACTGTATTATAGTTATTATTGCTAGATAGGGTCAGGGAGGGAGTGGAATTTATTTTTGATGAAACAAATTAATGGAAGCAACCTTCTCAAGTTAGGAAATAAAACTGAAATTCAGCCAGCACACATGCATGACACTCTATACATAACACAGGCTGTATTTTCCACATTGTCTCTGCCCTGTTCAGTGCACAGGATGGACTGAGCTCCAGGAATGAATCAGAACTGTATGACTGGGACAGCAGTCTGGGTCTCTACTCTTACATATAAATAAATTTAATTCCAAATCCCGCTCTCTCCCAATTTCTTAGAGAAACCAAAAGTAAGAATGAAGTTGATTTCCACATGTCATTCAGTCTTCCCTCTGGCCAATAATTCCATCTAATTCAAAGGACATAATAGAGAAGGGTTTGGATTTGTCTGTCATCAGATTAAGAAACTGATGGTCTGTTCAGAAACACCCATCAACCACCACACAGGCAAGAGCTTTGTTTGTAGGTGTAAACAAAGCCAAAAAGCTACCTGGGGCAGAGCTGACCTGTACTAAGGAGTTTAGCTGAGGACACACTCCAGGATATGCTGCTTAGGCTGCCAACAGGAAAGCAGTTCTTTGCCAGTTTTCATCAGCTGTATAGAAGTAAACAACAGGCTTACTCATGAACTTAATTTAGGTGCAGCTTTTAGCAAAACACTTCAGTGATATTCACTGACTGAAGTTCATTGCAGGCTAACATGAGATATTAGCATGTGCTGAATTATTTAACTTCCTCACAGGCACAATTTTTTTTGTTGACAATCATTTAGTATTCTACCTACTTTGGGAGAGTATTAACAAAGAGTCAGTAAAAGTGCATCTGCATCAAAGCAGGAGGGATGACAATCCTCTCTGCCAATTTCCCCAGCCAAGATGCCAGATTAGTGCATGGTCTGACAAATGCCCTACTTACAGCTGGGTCTCTGCTGTCCTGCAATCCTCTTTCTATCCCTAACTAGACAAAGCAATGCAAATTGTATGTTATTTAGGCATCCCTAAAAAGCACAAAATTTACCTGTATATTCATAATCTTTGCCACAGATCTCATGCCTCACTCAAATAACACCACAAAAACAACCCTACCTGATCAGCAACTACATCACTCAAATCTACACTAGAAAGAGTGATAAATATAGAAGACGGAAAATTCTGTGCAACCAGCACATAGCAAAGACATGGCAATGTCAAAGCAGTTCCATCTGGACTAGAGGAAGGCCAGTATGATCAGAACCTAGGAGAATTTCCATAAGTGGTTGATACTGAAAGCAAGGGTCAGTCTTCCATACCCTTACCACCCTCCCTTAAATAAGTTTCAAAATCAGAATTTCTACAGTGCAGTGGACTCAGAGCAGAAAGTGTTTCCAAAAGTCTGCAGCTACACCAACTCACAGCTGGAAAGTAAACCTAAACCAAACAGGAAAATACAGAAAGGAAAACAGAAAAACCACCTCAACTGAAAAAAAACCAAAAAACAAAAAAAACCAAAAAACAAACAAAAAAACCAACAAAAAAAACCACAAAAAAAACCCCCAAAAAAACCCAAAACCAAAACCAAACCTACAACAGATTTCTACAATGACATGGAAGCAATGCAGCAAAAAGCAGTAATCTCTCATTTGAATCTTTCAGGTGATGGCCAGGATCCTCCTCATCCCCTGGCCTTTTAATTTCCATCACTCGCTGCTGAGTATGGCTGCTTTCACACATAGACAGGGAATTATTCTGCCTTCAGAACAGCATTTCTACATTAACAGTCAAGAAACTTGAAGATTAGAATACACCACCCATTTCCAGGAAGGTTTATTAGTATGACTGGTATGACTAGTATGACTGCAACAATATGAAAAGCAGCTCCAAGAATGCAGACTCATCTGCTTTATACCAACTATTTCTTCCTTTCCTTAATGCATTCTAGTTTCCCGGCCTCTAAAGTCAGTGGACAAACTTAAATATCAAACTTAAATAGATTTGACTACATTGATCAGCAAGAGAAAGGTACATGTGATCAAAAATATTTTGTTTATAAGACTGTCAAGAATTAAACAAAGTTTACATATAGAATATTATTCATACCTCCAAAAATTTGCAACAAGGAAAAAATCCAGCTATTTAGCCATAATTTGACAGACACTGCAACTTAGTCCTCTAAGCAATTCTAAGTATTTCTAATGCTTCCTTAAAGTGCCCAGGAATAGAAAATATTGCCATAAGTATATAGCACCAAACAGTATGAAATACAATTCTGACTCTCATGTAGAAACCACAATCTACCAAATTCTATAGATTTATTTGTGCTCCTGAAAAAAAAAGAAAAAAAAAAAAAAGCCATCAAGTGTGTTTTACTTCTGACTTGTATGATGATGCAACTGCATTTCTTGTGTCAAGTTGTCAAGTTAGACTTTTATATATATTAACTCACTCCACTGACAGACAATTTCATTACATAGATATTTAGATGTTTCCATTAAGTCTTGAAAAGGAAATTATAAAAAGTGTGACTAAAGAAGTATTTCAGGTTTACGCATTTCAAACATGGCTTTTAATGTGAAATGGACTACACATTAGTAAGACTTTCTAAATAGGCTGATTTATTAATTATTTATTGGATCAAGTTATTAGTTTAGAAAAACTCTGGATTTCTGTTTGAAAACGGAAGTAACAGTCATATAAAATTAGAAAATATAACCAAACTAATTTCCTTTTCAGACTCAATGCATACTCTGAGTTACATAAGCTATGACTTAGAATTTTCAGTAGAGCAGTACGATATGCTAAAAGCTCGAACTTTATAAAAAATGTGTATTGTACAAAAAACCATTTATAGACAGAGCAGTCCAGTGAAATGACCAGATTAAAAAAAAAAAAAAAAGATTGGAGGTGATCTTTTTAACTTCTAAGATGTTCAAGTTCATAATTTAGAATTCTTTCATCAGGAGATCATCTTCACTGCTGCACAAAAACATCAAGTTGAAACACATTGAAGGCATTTGAATTATTTGCACCCAAAACCATCCAACTCTGTGCCTAACCCTGTACTACATTAAATTACAGCTTTTTATGCAGCTCTGTGAAGCCAAGCATCACAAAGAATTTCCAGTAACCAACAAAAAGATAGATTTAAGATGAATTAGGACTTGAAAATATGTTGGTATTAAACATCAATAAATACCAAAACCAAGCAAACAAACAAACAACAAACTCGAACTCATTCAAAGGCAGAATCGAAAGAAAAAACACTAAAAACTCAAAAAACCTCTCTAGCAACTATGAATTACATACCGAAACAAATCAAGCAAAGAAGCCCCACCCAAATAAAAAAAGAACTTACCTGGGTTGAAACTAAGCCAATAAAAGGAGAGACAGCTAACCTTAACTTGAATCATAATTAGATCCTGTGCTACTTATGACATGACACTTATGCTAACAAACACAAAAAAGTGAACACAAGGGAGAACCTAGGGACATCAGGGTGCCCTTCAGGGTTAATATCATCCCATCACAACACTTAGTAACCATTGCCTATACCTCAATCTCACTGCAGATGTAACTGAGAGATTTAAGCAGATTTATGATAATGAGAGCTGGAAGCACAGAAATACAATCAGATCTGATGTATCAGCTGAAGTCTGAAGACAAGATGACAGACTATTTTTTTACTTCCTGAAGTATGTTACTAATAAAATATATCACATAAGCCGGGGAATAAGGAACGACTTGTACTGAATTAGACATTACCTGATGAATGCTTTCACTAGTTGCAAAAACACAAATGTAAGTGATCATAAAGCATAGAATGGTAAAGGGAGGTTGATGAAAGAGATGGCTGAAAGCACCGATTAGTACTAAATCCCATCCCAACCTCTACTACAGAGTTCCTGGAGAGCTTCTTGCAAAATCACTAAAAATTTGTCATAGAAATCTGGTGGGTTTTCTTATTTTTTTAAGAGTTCAGTTAGACACCTCTATATTTTTGCAAACATTATCTCAACACACCCAGGTGAAACAGCCAGCCATGGAACTCTGTGTAAGTCAAACCAGATTTTACAAAGATTTTTAAATCCTGCACTCAAAAAAAATGGTAGCACTCATCTTAGGTCACATCCTTAGCATACTTCTGATTATTCTGTCCTTCCTCTAGATATATTGTCAGGGATCAGAGACACCATCAGAATACTCTACCAGAGATAAAATGCTTAACAGCCTCTGAATACTGAAACAGTTAATTTAGAGTGCTGCTGTCAGAATTTGCAATAAACTAAGGAAACAGAAACGAATGTTCAGCTTATAAAAACCAATTACTATGGACAGAAGCAAAACAATAAAACCAGATTTCCTGTACCTTTACATGTCATATTTAGATCACTGAGATGATAAAACCACTCTAAGTCAAAGTAAAACCACTCTCACATAAAGACTTTCGGTGTTTATTAAGACTGGGGCTCATACTGCACCTTTTGCTTGAGCAGTATTATTAATGTCAGATCTTTTCTATTGCCAGGGATTAGCACAGGCTTAGTATTTGCTAGGATTACTGAGTTGCAAACAAAACCAATCAGGAAACTGAATAATCAAAGACAAAGGAGAAGCACCAACAAACACATCACTGTGTGCATTTATTCAATAAAGATTCTATCACAATTGCTCTGCTCCCACCCTTCTGCCATCTCCGTCCTACCCCTTTAGCTCATGTTGACACTTGCAGAATTGCACAGCAAACTGGCTATTTACTGACCAGGAAAGTTCCTTGAACAATGAAATCATACAAGAAAATTTGGCATCTGAGCCAGACACAGCTGGAAGATCTTCAGAGGATAGGTCTGTGACAGCAAGAACCCAAATGGGCATAAACTAATCTGAGTCTGTATAAACATCGCTTCCCCGAAGGGCAAGGCGCAGCACGAACTGGCGGAAATAGATCTGTTTCAGTCCCAAGTCAAGGTGTCTGATGGCGAAGACCTAAGTCGTGCTATGCATTGTTCCTTCTGATAAGACAATTCATTAGGTCTGGCCTCTCACTTTATGAGCAGCATTCATCTCTCCCTTACTCAGGTTTTGTATCCGCGTAACTACAGCGCTGGGGGAACCCATCAAAGCTGAGACCTTACCGTTCCACGGAAAAGTCTCCCCAAGATTTTGGCACTACGCTCAGCTGCCATTTGAAGACTAGGGAAAGCAAAACCTTCCCCCACCATCAACACTGGAAGCGAGGCAACCAAGCTGTGGCTGGGCACAGCACTCCTGAGCGTAGATTTCCTGCCCCGGTCACACGCACCCCCCGGGAGCGCCGCCGGGCCCGCACACCCCGGGGGGCGAAGCGGCGCAGCCCCGCCCGCCATCAGCCGCGCCCCCGCGCCGCGAGACCCGCCGGCGCTGACGCGGCGGCGACGGGCAGGAACGGCAGCCAATGGCAGCGCCCGCCGCGCGGGAACGGGCGAATAGCGACGGGCGCGGTGGGCGTGGCCCGGCCGGCTCGGCAGCGGGCGTTGGGGCTGTTGCGAACGATGAGGGAGCGTTCCCCGCGCCGCCGCGGCGCCGCGGCTCTCCCACCCCTCTCGGCGGGGCGAGCCGCCCCGCCGGGAGCCTTACCCTCCTCAGACATGGCTTGCTGGGGCGGCTGAGCGCGGGGTCCTCCTCGGGCGGGCCGGGCGGCGGAGCGAGCGGGGCCGGGGTACGGGCAGGTGTGGCCGGAATGCGGCGTTGGAAACGGAAGCGGCTTCTCCGACGTGAGCGAGAAACTGTTTCGGATCAGTGCGGCTGCGCGCTGGCCGCGGGGGCGCGCCCGGGAAACGGGGGCGTGGGGGCGGTGCCGCTCCTTCAGCGGCCGCGGCTCGCTCGCAGTTGTTCGCCGAGGAGCGAGCCAAGCGGCCGGCCGAGCTGCTGCTCAGCTTCCGCAGCAGCCACCGGGCCAGCTGCCTCTTTTCCTCAGTCTGCGGCCAGGCCGTCCGCTCCCTCAGCAACTCACCCGTTCCCCTAGCAGCCAGCCAGCCTGCTAGCCAGTCGGCCCGCTGCCGCAGCAGCATGTCGGTCCCGCAGCAGCCAGCCAGCCAGCCAGCCAGCCTGCTCTTGGAGCAGCTAGTCCGTCGGGGGGCCCTTTCCACGCTGCTGGGCGCGGCTCTTGACTTACGAAAATGCCCAGGTTTTCTCCGCGCCCCTCTCGGCTCCCTGGCGCTGCTACGCTCCGTGCTAGCCGAGGCCAGGCTGAGGGCAGCAAGCTCCGGTCCATGTAGGTTTTTTGGGCTCCTGGGGAATGTGGGGCTGCCGAGCTGCTCCCTGTGTGAGGGCAGAGACTGTTGCCTATGCCATTCACTGCTCCAGGTTTCAGGGTACAAGCCCGTCTGGCTCTTCCAGCACACCAAGTTGAGTTTTGGTGGTCTGCAGAGTTCCCTGTTTTTTTGATTTGGTGCTGGGGATCAGCAGGCCCAGGAGACACCCTGCCCAGATACCCCATGGCTGTCCTCACACTCCCCCCTGGAGGTATAGGAATCTCTCTGGCGGTATTTATTCAGGAAGTGGTGGGAAGAATCAAATAATGAATTAGGTTGGAAAAGACAAATTTTGAGAGCATCCAGCCCAACCTGTGACCTGACACCATGTTATCAAATAAACTATGGCACTAAATCATATTAAGTTCTGTTTTAAAAGGCCACTGGGGACGGTGAGTCCACTATCTCCCTGGGCAGCCCATTCCAATGTCCCAAATACAGTGACACAGTGTAAGATTATTGGATGTGGGTGGTTATGGGATCTGCTCATGGCTTGGGGCAGCAGAGTGGCCTACAGCAGCTTGCATGATCAAAGAAAGTACAGTTCAGCAGCACTTTTGCAAGGCAAAAGAAGAGCAATGTCTGCAGGTTCAACCAAGAGCTTTTAAAGAAAGTGAGGGAGATGTGTGGAAAGTTCTGTTTAGGAAATGAATAAAAATCAGGAAAAGGGGTGTGTTGAAGTGAATTAGGCAGGAACAAGACTATGGTGATAGTAAATGTTTTTCTAGCTTTTCTCTGAGATATGTGCATACATTTGTGTATGGGGGTCAGACATGTCAGAGGGCCCATGTGCCCATGGTGCAGTTCTGGAGTAAGTGCAGGTGATCGAGTAAATGTGTAAGCTCTAATGAATGTAAAACTGGATGGTTCAGCAAGTAGACGGGTGGCCACAGAGTAAGGAGTCTGTTTAAATGGGGGACCGTGGGACACCTTGCTACTGAAGACTAGGGGAGACCTGGCCTGGTGTTGGAGGGACCACAGAGCTGAGGGTGTCTCAAGGGGTGAGGGGCACATGTGTCTGAGAGTAAAATGGAAGTGTTATGGGGGATCTTGCGTGCCCTGGACAACACTGGGTCCAGGAGTCTCCTGAATCGCCTGCAGCTTGTGATGTTTTTCCAGCAGAACAAGAGCCTGTGAGCACGTTGCCTTCTAAAGCAAGAAGGCTTTGTCAATAGGCTTCTCTTGATCAGGCTGCCTGTGCTAGACATCAGTCACAAGATTCCCTTTGTTGCCTTGGTCTGTGATGCTGACTCACAGGCTTTATTTCTTTTCTGGTGGTAGTGGCACCTTTGGTGCAACTGGACCTTTATTCTCTTCAGCTTTTGGCTGGCTTTCCATATGCAGAACATCTTGCCTCTTGTGCAGAGGGACCTGGGGGAATGAGGTGGGGAAAAAAGGGTGTCACTTGCTATATCCCAAGCATGGATTACCCTCCCTTGCTCCTTTCCTTACAGCTGCTACCTTGTCCTTGATGGGGAATGGCTAGATCCCATTGATCTTGAATTATTTCTGGTGACTGCTGCTGTCTCAGGGCAGTCAGACCTGGGTTCCACAAGTCTATCTCCCTTTCTGACCTCTAATTCTCCTTAATATTTTTTTTTAATTCTAACATTTTAAATTAACAATTATAGTTGTTTCCCTTGCATGGTACAAGAGACTGTTTTGAAGTGTCTAATCTTCTCAAATATTTATCTCCAAACTATTCATCACTTCCTATAGCACCGTCTTCTGAGGAGTCAACTGATTCCTCAGCCTCTGCAGAAGTCAAATGCAGTTTTTCAGTAGTGACTGGGCTTTCGTCTTCACACTGTACTCAGTGTTCAAAATGCAAAGACATATGGTATTCTGGTTCTAGCACCATGCTCCTTTTTTCTCTTTCATGAGAACAGTAATAGCTTTTTTACTCTAATTTACACATGTAGACTTTTCTGCAAATACAGACTGATGCAGCTCCATGTGAGGCAAATAGTTTGTCTCCTGAACAAGCACATTATGCTGATGCAGGGTAGAGTCTTCTGTTTTGTTAGTTTGAGCTAAACCATCCCATGGATGATTCCTAGAAGTAGTTTCAGAAGAATTAGAGCTTTCAGTAGAATTTTATTGTATTGACATTGTGTGGATTGGATGCATTCTCTAGTTGTATCTTGCTTTATGCTTCTGCTTGCTGAGTGCTGTTTGATGCACTAACACAGGAGGTGATGTGGGGCTGCTGATGTTGGAGTTTCATGTAGGAATTCTGCACTGTAGGCAGTGAAGTCTCCAAGTTCTTTGCATGATCCAATACTTGTATGTGTCTACACAATTTCTGAATTCTCTTACATGTTCTTGATTGTCAGTTGCCAGACTTGTTGACAGAATCTCAGGAGTATTATATTAATTGAGCCACACCTTCATACTGGAAAGGCTGGTAACGCAGACCACTGGGTAAATCGAAACTGTATTTGCCAAGATCTGTGGTGGTGTGTGTTCTGTGGGATTTTGCAGTGTTTTATTATATGAGTTAGAAATTTATTGTTAGAGAGTTCTGTTTGGTATGTTCCTTGTACCCCCTATTTCTTCCCCTCACAGTGGTTTCTCCCAAGTTGTTTACCCCTAAGTTTTCCTAGCACTTGGCTGTCAATCTCCCTGTTCCTCCCCTTTTACCTCAAAATAGACATGTCAATCCAAGTTGGGCTGCCCACCTCCCCTGTCAGTCAGTGTAACCACCCCCATTTTCTTCTCCAAAGTTCTTTGTCAATCATCCCTGTTTTTTGTTGTCAGTTGGTCCCCTGAGGCTTCTCCCCTCCCCAGCTTTTCCCCATTGGTTATGACCAATGATGTCATCCTAATGTAATCCATTGCCATTGGATGTTCCATAGTGACACCCCTTCACGCTCACACCCTTCATAAATTCTAGCCGGCTCCATTTTCTTTGGCACTTGTCCCTGACCTGGTTCGTGGAATAAAATCTCCTTGAACCACAAACAAGTGTCCTCTCCTTTGTCCCTTCGCTTTGGATCTTTGTGCCACCTTTGTGCCAGCATCACCCACGCCGCTGCACACACCACCACCTGGTGGTCTCATTGGAGAACCAGGGGCGGCCACTCTCGTGACCCCCACCGGTCACCCCAGGGAACTGCTAGCCGGCACTCTGATTCCCAGTGACCACTGAGAAGGTGCCACAAAGATCTGTGCTTCTTTTGCATGATGTAGTTTACTTTTGTGATAAATAAAATTACTCACCCTTGGGTTCCATTCAGTTTCATTGTCAGTGGGTTTCAATCTATAAACTACTAATTCCTCAGCCAGAGGTGGCAGACACTTAAACCTTGCCAGTAGTTGAAGCGGCTGACTGCTATTCACTTTTGTTAGTAACAACTTTTAGTATTTAGTAGCTACTAACTTGTTTTGTTTAATAGATTTATTTTGCCTTCATTTATGCATTTAATTGTGGCCTTAAAGACAAAATTTTCTTCCTCATTTGGTGGAATTGCTACCATATGAACCTTTTGAAAAGGGGTTTTGTCACATAGTAAAATGCCAGCTTCTCCACATTATTCTTTATTTGTTACTCAACCAAAGTTTGCTGTATTTACAATGTGGAGAGGCAGTACTGTTGCCTGAATCAAGAAAGAAAAATGCTTTCCAGACAATATTGATATAGATAATACAAAAATCAGATCTTTAAGGGAAGCTTCCAGGTACACTCATAGCTATGGGCATAGGTGGAATCAGATTTGTACAATTTTATAATGTCAGTTAATTTATATATCTAACAAATACTGTCAAGTTAGAAGAGCAGTTGGTTAGGTCATTTTTGCCCAGGTTCTGCCCCATTGGAGCCCTCCCCTGATTTTTTAGTCCTCTTTTTTATTGTGGCTGTGAGATACGGTGCATAACAAAGTGTCTTTGCTGGACTAAAAATGGTAAACAGAATCCTAAGCGTAGTAGAAGGGTTAGCTTACTGTTCTAAGAAGTAAGGGAAAAGGGTAGGACGAGTACAAGAAGCTACAACCTTGTATTAGCAGTCTACAAATCTACAAGTATATGAGAAATGTACAGAAAGCTAAAACTTTTAGGCATCAGTACCTGCTGCATCTCCCTGCTCCTCAAGGGCAGATCTCCTGCCATCCCCGGCTAGCTCCACACGGGGCGATTGGGCAGCGGGAGGCACTTCCCACTGGACCCTGCTGGGCTTTGGGATGCGCCTTCATGGATCCAAAGACTGGGCTGATCCCACCGGCAAAGGATGGAGACGACACTCTTCAGAGGGATAACTCCAAAGTTTATTGAGACTCCGAGGGAACTCCCAGAGCCCAACCTAACTTGAATGAATCCAACCAAAGAGAGTCCCGGAATGGTGCAAAATACAACTTATATATGGAGGGAGGAGAAAACCGACTGACCAATAGGGGAATACATAGGAGTGGCTCTCTTGATGACTGACGAACAGGGTACCCAGTTAGGGAGGAGAAAGGGAGGGACCCCAGGCCCTTATCCAATCACCCAACGCCCTCTGTAGAAGCTTCTAGACAGAAGGGTAGGGACACTGAGTGACAGACAAAAACACTTGGGAGGAGACAGGGGAATGAATCAGCACTTTTGGGGGTGACTGACACATGAGGAGAGGTGGGAAAACCAGGGTGAAACCAAGAGGGTATAGAGGGGTACAAAGGAATGAATCATTTTGAACTGAAATACAATAAAACATGAAAACACAACTCCACAAGTACTGTCACACTTTGTGGTGTTTGTATACTTTCATCTGGTATATTTTGCGTCGTGTTTAGTTGTAAATTAATTTGATGACAGTCTGGACACAAACCTCAAATATTTTAAGATAGGCACAGAGTGGTCTTTAAAGTTTCTCACTTTCAGTTTTGAGCATCTTCACAGTAAAATCATGCAGTTCTTGTGGAATTTCAGCTTCTGTGTGCTTCAAATAGTGCAGAATCAGAGCCTTCATATATTCCTGATCTACAGAAGAATGACTGAATTTGTCTTTGTATGTTCCTGATCTACAAAAGAATCCTTTATCATATTCCAGAAGTTGTCAGTCATGCTGTATAGACGCTGCCCAAAGATTCTTGGAGAAGGAAGCCTGAAGTGGATCACACAAGTTGCATCTGTAATTCCCAAAGAGTGTAGGCAGTCATCTGTTAGAACTAACGTAACAGGAGTACCAGAATTTCCTTTATTTTATGTTCTTTTCAGAAACAGAGTAACCTTAGTTATGTTAGGTCAACATTTTGTACGAATGTAAGGAAGCAGTCCCTGAAAAGAATGATTTGGGAAGAGGTCTTCAGAGGCTGTAGAAGCTAAATGGGGTGCGCTCACGTGGCAGATGTTGCCTGGATGGCCACCTTACAAAGAGCACCTCCCCAGGAAATGATGGATAGCCCAGTCGAGCACCAGACGCTCGCACTGCCAGTTGTTGAATATATGCTGTCGGAAGAAGAAGAGGCTCTCTGTATGGGATTCCAGCGACTGTTTAATGACAGGTGCACTGAAGGGGTCCAGGGACAGCAAAGAGCCCCTAACAGGGGAGGATCCAGGGTTTCTAACCAGCCCGGAGTAGGTGGGCTATTACAACCTGAGGGCCAATAGGTGAAGGGATAAGGGGAGGTACAAAGGTGGGATTAGAGGAATACAACTAATGAGTAGAGAGGGGGGAAGTGACAACCGGTGTGAACCAATAGGGAGGTAGAGAACAATGAACTTTCCAGAACTGGGGAAGAGAACAAGGATGATGTCATTAGAGCTAATTAACATAAAACCCAGAGAACTCTGGGAGAAAGCTCCAAAGTGTCACTCAGACTTAAACCATGGTGTCCTCCCAAGGCATCTCAGCCTCTCCTTCATCTGTGTGTGATACTACAATGAGGTACCAAGAAATAGCTTAAGAAGTGAAGTAGCAGAGTAAGAGATACAGGATACTTCAGCTGGTAGGGCATCTGATTGCTGTTGAGTAAGCCTTTAATGACTGTTGGGTTGTGTTTTAGGTTTCTCCCCTTTTTCTGTAATGGTTGGTTCTGTATCCCCCAGGATAACATGGTCCTGTCCTGTCCTGCCCTCCTCCCCCTCCTCCCTCCATCTGTCAATCTTCCCTCCCTCCACCCATAGCATATATAAAACCTGCTGAGTCATTCTCCTGACCCCTCCCTGGGGCCTGTCCATTACTCTGAGGCCCCTCCCTTTCACCTAGAAAGTTCTACCCAGGGCCTCAGGTGATAGGCTGGTCTCCAGGGTCCCCTCCTCCCTCCCTTCCTTATTGGACCCCCTACCTGCTCGTCACCCCAGTTGTCACGCCACCCTCTTACCCCATTGGCTTGTTGTTGACCCCTCCCCTTGCCTCCACCCCCCTTTAAAACCCCTTACACACAGTGTTTGGGGCCTTTTGGAGGCATCGTCCCTTGAGGTGAGGTCAGTCCTCAGAGCTATCCAATAAACTCGGATGAATGATCCCTCCATCAGGATGACTCCTCTTGTTTCTGTCAGTGTCGCCTTGTGTCTCCCTGGGTCTGGTGGCTTCAGATCCGCAAGCCGCTGTCCCTGCCACTCATGGCCCGGGAAGGTGGCCCCCGCTGCCTGCAGTGCCTGCAAGTGCTGGGCAAGCCAGACATTGGGACAGGCACCGCGACAAATGACTACGAAAAGGAGGTACTTCCTAGAAGGAGAGGAGTTAAAGGATGAATGTTAAATACTACTAAAAGTATAATAGTCCTTGCTAGCCTTTTAAATATGTAAATCAACTTAACTACTTAGGCATCAAATACTATATCCTTAGAGATTCTTAGAATGTCCTATACATATAAAAATAGTTTTCTAGTTGATGTGAGAGATGAAATAGCATTTTGCTTCAGCCCAAAAGGAGTACAGAGCAGAAGTCAAAAAACATTAATTCTATTTTGTATTTCTTGTTACCTATAGTTTAGATGTAGTTTGAGCTGTTTTTTGCTCCTGTTAAGTGTTGATAGGAACCAGTAAAGAGGTGAAGTTGATAAAACCAAAAGACCAAGAATGATGCCAGGGAGCAGAATGGTTTTGGGGGAAGGGTAGGCAATCAGGAGAGAGTGTAAGTCCCTGAGTACCCAACCAATGGGGATGGGGGCAGGGACCCCCACTTGGGCCCAAAAGGGTATAAAAAGGTTGTCTCTGTTGAGGCAGGGATGGAATGAAAAGACTGTTCAGAAGGCAAAAGAATAACCTTTATTACAGGAAGTAGCATTCCTTAGCAGTGCTGAAGAAGCAGCAGGGGCAGAGCAGCAGTAGCCCAGCTCCCAGCAGGCAGGGAGAGCTGAGCTCATGATCCTGGGTTCCCGAGCAGATGAGGTAGGTCCTTCTTTAGTGAGGTGGGTGTCAATGAGGTCCCAGTTCAGTGGCTGCTCTGACAAGCAGAGGCTCACCCCACGGCAGAAGAAGCAGCTCTGGGCTGGGCTCCAGCGGCAGCAGCGAATTCCTTTCCCCAAGCAGCAGCTCTGACCGTTCTCCTCCGAAGCCGAGAGAGAGAAGGACAGAGCCAGTAGCTGTCCCAGCCCCATCTTTTATCAGCCCAATTTTCGTGGTATCTCCGCCCCTTGGAGAGAAACTTCCAGATAAGAGAAGTACAACCAGATGCCTTAGTCTCTTGTGCTTGGCCACTTCTGTTTCTCTCAAGTACCCAGTCATTAGTGTTTCTTAGCAACTTACGGGAAAAATTCTAAAACTAAAAAGGAACAAAAGGAAACAATTTTACTGCCAGGGTGATCTAAGAATGGGCAAAATTTCTTGCAGCCTAATGAAGACAATAGTCCTTGAAAAGATCAAGGAAATTACAACCAGGTATGTAACAAGTTTCACTTAGGCTTTACTATGATTTGATTGGTACTATCCGCCATGAGAGGGTAATGAATACTGAGAGAGCAAGAATATTTTGAAAGACTACAGTGGGATCCACATTTGTAGATTTCGTTCTTCCTTTTATCCTCTCCTGAATAGGTCAATCCATGGGCTATTCAGAAATGTTTAAATCATTGCTGCAATAGTCCGTTTAACCTGACATAAGATTTAAATAATTGCTGCCATAAATAAAACTTTTTGATTGATTATTCAGCATTATTTCACTATAATTTAGTTCAAGGATACCCCAAATATATCTCTGAATAGGCAGTCTGCAACTGCCCTCTCGGATCCAACATTTTCTGTCTATGTCAGATCAGGTGGCCCAGGATTGCCCTCTTGGGACCTGACACCTTGCATATATAAAAAAGCACTGGGTATATTTTATGTAGTCTAATGTTTAGTCTTTTCTTCACTGAGCATGAAGAAATATAGATGTGTACAGTGGGCAGATGGAAAATCAGCTTGTGTCTGCCCTTTTGGGCTAAGCTTTTCCTGCAAATCTTGCTTACCTGTGGTTTTGGGATGGGAAAGGTACACAAGACCAAAAGAAATTATCTACAGAATCACTATGTGACCATTTGGTTAAACGTTATGCCAACTGCGTCACACTTGGAGACTACTCTAAGGGTACCACATGATTGGGGCAATCCTCATACTGTTGCAAACTATCATCGCAGATAGCCCTACAGCAGCACTCCCCAAAGTTCCTCTTTTGTCATACTTTCTATAACACTAGGCCTGCACATTTCAGCCTTTTTTCCATATCTGTTTTTTAAGCACCAAATACAGTGTTTCCAGGCTACTTACAGGATGACAGCTGAAACCAGAGTTTCATGATGTACATTTTCATATCCATTTTCAAAGAGATCTGTGAGGGGCTGTTTGAACATTTAGCTTCCATGTCCTGACATCTCAATCTCTTGATAATTGAACCATTTAAAAATGAAGTAGTGTTTGCTCTTCGAAGTTTGTATTCATAATCTATATGGTTATGAATGCCTCCCTTTTTTCCCAAAGCTTGCTTTATCTGATGTGATCCAACCCTTGGATTCTCTGTGTCTTGAGTCTGAAGTGTTGCAGTTTGTTTCCTTTTCCAGCTGAAGATAAGGTAGTGGTCTCTCCACCATTTTTCATCCCAGCTTTCTCTTAGCCTTTTCTTACATGTAAAAGCCATGAGGCGAATTCAGCAGTTACTAGATTCTGGCAAAGTTATACTGGTGAGCACTTAAAGTCAGTGACATTTTGGAGAAACATTTTCCTTTATTCAGTTTATGAAAAAAAAAATCAGTTGAAGAGAAAGCAGGATTAAGTAGGTTTGAAATGTGTAATGTGCTGAAGGTGACCTTGGGAAATAGCATACTTGTACTCTGTAGATTAGACTTCACATCTCATTACAAGAAAGTAAAGAGAACATGTGATTTAATTGCAGTCACGTTTATTTGCAGTTTCTATACACACTTTCTAGGTAATCAAACTTTTCCAACACATTTTTTGAGAGGGGTTCACAATGAAACTGTCACCGTTTTTACTAAAAATAAATACAAGACTTAAAGTGTTGCACAGCTCTAAAATATACAAAGGCTTGGATTTAATGTAAACTTTGAAAACATTTTACAAAAGAAACCATATTTGCAACGATTTAAAAAGTTTGTATTTACAAATATTACAAAAATACAAAATGGATGCAAGTCCATAAACCATTGTCTTTTCTGCCAGCATGAACTGGTGCTAGTACCAAAATAGTTACACTGTAACCTTCTTAATTTTTTTTTTAAATTCTTTAAGTCGTAACCTACAGTATTTCTTTATCTGCCACCATTGCAGCAAATGCACTCAATCACTGACCTTTGGCAAAAGCAAACATATGCTTTATTTGCTACAACTACCCCTTGTCCTCTATGCTGCCACAACAACAAAAACAGGCAAAAAAAGAAGAAAAAAACAAAGAAGAAAAGGGGAAATTATATTTTTCAGAACACAGCTGTATAACATAAGTAATAATTTTCATAATATCAGTGCAAGCAACAGAACAGTAGGTTGAAATGACAGTTCAGCAGTTACCTGATGCACTGTACCCTGTCTCAAGAGGAGAGTGATGCTCCCTTTGCTCTATGGCCTGTCCTCTGGTGCCTTAATGACACGCTTGGAATGCTACAGGTCTCCCCGCGATTCATTTTCCTCTTGACTCCCACATTTGTTCTCAACTCTTGTTCATAGAGAATTTAGAATCTCTCTGATTGGGTTTCAATCTGCTAAATATAAATTAAAAAATTAAGCAAAAGGAGACTATACTCCAATGGGATTGTTCTGTGTTTGTTCTGTATGTGAAATATTGCCTCATTATTTCAGTTAAAAAAAAACCCTAGTGTGTATGTATTTATTTAGAGTGTCTATGAAGTTATTGATTGGTAATAAAAAATGGTATAATCAAAGTCAATTCAGCTGTATTCTCTTTACTGTTTTGAATGACTAATGAACTCAGGACTAATAGTTTAATAAACATTTTGTAAAAGTGCTCCTGGTAAAATTTTTGTGGAAAATGACTGAAGAAGACAAACTAAGGATTTTCTGCCCATTATCTAAACCAGCTTTTCTCAGACTCTCCAGAAGGTGGTTTGTCATATGCTAAACATTTCCTCCTAAAACATTCTCATTAATTCACTTTGTTTGTATTCAGACTTATTTTCCTAGCTAGACTAGTAATGTGATTAGCCTTTTGTTTCCAAAATCTTTCTCCCATTATCTTTTTAAAAACTGTTTTAGACAATTTTACAGCCCTTCCACTGATGGATCATCCCTCATCCCAACATACCTATCACGTGCACAGTGACTCTATCTCATCAACTGAATGCAACCAGGCTACACAGGAGGACAGTAGGAAACTCTGAATAATCCATGTCTTGTGGTAAGCACTAGACAAAATCAGATGTGGACCTTCTGGGGAATTATATTTCTGATATGTTAAACTGTTCTGATTTGCTTTGACTTCTTGAAATTGTAAGCGTTTTAGGTAGAACCTTCCTCTTTAAAACATGATCTGCCTTCTTTTAATAACTCTCAGCTTTATGCATTACATGATCAAAAGAAAAAAAAAAACTAAACTAATTCACACGTCCCACCTCCCAGTCCTTTACTTATGCTTAAAGCCAGCTTTTAGGCAATTCCTTTGTACCAAAGAATGTTCTATCTGCCATCCTACTTGACCTGTCCTACTGCACACCCCATTCCTCCTTCACTATTTTCTCTGCACTAACCTTTCCTCTGTTCCTATCCGTATCCTACAGCAACCAATACCAACTGCATGAGTTTTGGATAAAGATGGCCTTGTACTCTAAGTAGCCCAGATGGGGCTACATCAGTGGAAATTGTGGTGGCCCAAAGGAGAATCAGGCCTGTTGGTTTTATTCTGTTTAAAAATTAAAAGTATAAAGCAACTCATGGGTTCTTGTGGTTTTAAGATGAGAATATTCAAGTAATTTCAAGTAATTCAGCTTTTATCCCCTGCCTTCATGTGTATCAAAGAAGCTACTTGGATTTGTCTCCTTTCCCACCCCAACCCAGTCCCTCGCCCTGTTCTGTGTTTCTGGTAAACCCAGACAAAATCCCTACTGTACATGGCTGGCACAATGAACTGGAGCTTTCCCCTTCTCAGCTCAGCAATGAATATAAATAATGCATACACATACCTATTTCCCAGCTATGTTTTCACAGTGTCATTTTTGTAAATATTTAGGTAGCATGAATCTCATCAGCACAAAGAGAAAGCTTCACTGAAAACTCATTGCAGATATTTACTGATAAATCGAAAGCGCTTCTTGCATGCTTATAATTTATTTGTTTCCTTTAAGAACCAGAAACTAATCATGTTTAAAGATTATAGGTACCAGGTTATGACTGTGTTATGTCAATAGACTAATAGGAGTATGAAAGTTAAATACTGTTTCCTCTCACATCTATCCTTTCTGAAGCAATCCCTGCAAGCATAAAGGTCCAGGGGAGGCTGTGGGGTGGGACCCTTTGGGGCTTTGCATCAGACCCAGCTTTGTTCTGTCAGAAACACACTCATCTTCCCCACCGATCCTCACGGTAACCCTCCCAGCTGTGATTTCCAGTTAGCTTCTTTGGAGCTGCCTTAGAAAGACAAATGGTTTCTTTAATCTCTTCACAGTCAGCCTTTCCATTTCCTTAACTAAGTTGGAAAACTCCTGCTTTCCACTGTTCAATGCCATCCTTCAGGCCTGTCACACTGAAAGTTGTTATTAGTGGCCATGTTTTATGTTTGATATGAAAATGGTATTCACAGAATACAGTTATTATAATTGAATTCATTTGTCTTCTATAAACAAAGTTGTTATGCAGTAAATCGTTTGCCACATCCACTTTTTGATAATTCTATTTACAAATTGTTATCAAAAATATGATATTTACATAAGTTTTGTTAATTTTTCTAAAGTTTGTTTCAGCTCATTTTATTGTAGAAAAATACCAATTCTCAAGAGCGTTTTCTTTTTGTTTTGTTTTCTCCCTAGGGAAGCACTACAGTGAGGGATTTGTTTCTAGATGGGCAGCTTCTGGGAAAAAAACCCACCCAAAGTCACCTTTAATTCTATGGAAAAGTGAATAGCTTTGACATCTACAGTGACAATGGAAATGAGAGTGGGATAAACCAAATGAAGCCAAAAGAAAACAGAACAGGCATAGCATATCTTCATCCTTTTAGAAAATGTAATGTAATAAATAGCTACAGCTGTAGTCCTTTTGTTTCCCCAGCATCTTCCAAACGCAAACACATTGAACCATTGATATTGCCCTGCGATTGTTCTCTTTTTCTTCTTTTTGTTTCTTTTTTTTTTTTTTTTTTTTTTTGATTGCTACAGCATTGGCTTCTTCCATTGACATCCTTAAGATCTTGAGTGGTGTTGGCAGCCGGGTCCTGGCACTCACACAGCCTATGTAGAGCTTTGAGAAGACCGATCATCGTGGGGGCTGCCATCCGAGTTCTCGGTCTCCCCCTCGGAGATGGCCTGCATGGGGGTGTTGTACAGCCTGCAGCGCACGCTGTACCGGCTGCTGCTGGCTGCCGGCGGTGCCCGCGACCGCCCCACCCGCGAGGATGCCGACATGGGGAAGTTCTTGGAGGAGAATCCTTCCGTGTTGACCCTGGGGGAGCAGGGGGAGAGTGGTGATAATGCATCAGAGCTTGTTGTGGGAGGAGACTCTTCCATGCTTTGAAGGGCATCTGCTGTCAGCTCTCCAGGAGACTTCGGCAAAATAGGACTTTTCAGAATTTCTGTGGCAGACATCCTGTAGCTGGAATCAGATCGGCTGCCCTTTTTAAGGAGCAGTAGCTTAAACTCCTCATTGGATGTGTTGGACTTTTTGGCATTCCTGTATATGAGCCCAGGGGACCTCTGACTGCTAATGGGAGTGCCCACGTTGCTGGCTGGTGGCATGTTGCTGGTAGGCAGTGTGCTGCTGGTGGGAGGCTGGCTGCTGGTCCCAGATGAAGCTCTCAATCTGTTTCTTACAGAAAGATCTCCAGAATCCTTTCTCCCAAGAACTTTCCTTTTTGATCTGTGAAAACACAAAGGAAAACTCATATGTTATTTTTGTAGTATAATGCTTAGCGCTCTTCTGGAGTTTTACAGATGCTTTCATATTAGCCAGAGTTCTCTCAGTCCTTCTGTAAAATATTGGAGGCTATCAGTGTCTCATGGCTCTGAGCTGCAGAGTCCCTCTCAACATTACCCAGCTCTTCCAGGACAGTGAATGCACAACCAGCTCTTTGTAAAGACAACAATGCATACAGAAACTTAGGTAATAATAATACATAGCATAATCTATTCAGTGTCAGAAAACTTCAATTTCAGTTGTGATCCCAACTTTTATCAGACTACAAAATACTCTGCAATTGAAGAGATTCCTTCTCATATTCTTCTCCCTGCAACAACTCATTCACCAGAATAGAGCTGGTGGACTGATAGGCAGAAGACAGGAACCACTGCAGTGTGTTTTCTTTGAAGACATATATCTTGGTTAGAGAGAACAGCCTGGTGTTTTTATCCCACATATACTGTAAAGATATGTAAAGATACTGTAAAGATATTGTAAAGTATCCCACATATGCCATGAAAATACTCGGACTGCACTCCAGGCCATAATAAAACATGTTTCAAAGCTGCCTTTTAGAAAACAGAACTGAGTTAACTGAAGAATGTAGTTTGAGAACAAAACTTAAATACCGAATAACCATCCTGCAGCTATTGTTAGTGGACAACTGTGTAGGGATGCATGTTACCATTTCCCATTGCCACAAGGTGAGGTCACCTGTGAATGACTGCAAACAGATCCTCAGTAGTGCGGGGTTTGTTGGGAGACACAAAGACATCCTCAGCGTCAGCCTGTGACTCCTCACTCAGTGGAGACATGATGGACTCATCGCTTGGAGAAGACTCTTAAAAAGGAGAGAAGCCATGTTATGAGTCAGACTCCAATAGGCTTTGCAACAGCACTGCCAGTTGGAGGCACCAGCTCTGCTCACAACTGCGTGGGCGATGCCAACATACAGCTTTTACCCTTTAATCTAAAAATCATGTCTGTTCCATATTGGAGTCCATAAAAGGATCACTGAACACAGGATCTCCCATTTACAGCATAGCCGTGATAATCAAACTCTCCTGTACCCAGGGCCAGAGCTCCTCCCTTTTATCTTTTCAGCTGAAATGCAGCACAAGGGAGGAAATAAATATCACAAACACAGTCTGAATACTTTGGAAAAGTGTAAATAGCTGTGGGCTGGCTAGCTGGCCAGATAACAGACTTTGGGGGATCTGTGCTTAAACCCACAGAGAGAAGCTGATGTGCCACTCTGCTTTGACTCCACTACCATCCCATCCAAAACCACCTGATTGGGTATGGCACAGAAAGAATTCCCAACTGACCTTTTAACGAAGGTTCGTCCGCGCCGCCCACTGTCTCATCTGCCCTGCTGTCATCAGAGGCACTTTTGGTTGGGATACCTGATGTGATATTGTTTTCCTGCTTGCAACCCTCTTCACTGAGTGAATCCACTGTTGCCATCTCTGCTTCAAAGCTGATATTCCCAGGCACATGGTGGCTTACATCGGGTTCGTGTTTTAACTGATAGGTGGTGGCCGGTCCCTCAGCCTGAGCTGGGCTTTCATCCACAGGCGCAGCTTCCACCTTCCCCTCGCTACCTACGGAGAGCTCTTGCTGAGCCTGCACTTGCTGAAGATCATGCACTATTTCTGCTCCCTGGACAGGTTTCTTTGTTTCATCATCACTTGTGGGGACAGCTGAGCCCTTCTGAAAGCCGTCACTGGGGACGGCACATGTCTGATTCAGAGAGCTATCTGCTAAGTGTTCAGCGGCCAGGTGTGTTTGGTCCTTCCCAGGTTTGATCTCAACTAGACCCGTGCTTGCCGAAGTTACAACTTCTCGCTCACAGCTATTCTGCCCACTGAAAGAGGAGCTTTTCTCTAACAGTGGCTTTCCAGGGCCTGCTTCTGCTGGGGAAGTGTCAATGTACAGCATTATGGCCTCGTCTGTAGAGTACTGGCGTGATACTGGTTTCTTAGATAAGAGCGGCCTCATTTTGCCTGGAGAGACCTCGGCTGCCATCAGGGTGGTCTCCTGTATGCAGAGCAGGTCTGGGGTACTGCCCTTATGTTTCACTCCTTCAGGCTTGTTGACTGCCCGGAGGTGGACAGACTTGAGAACGGAGGGTGTGATGGCGAGGGCAGATGGAGGGCTGGGCTGCAGGGCTTCCCCAACCGCGCTCTGTTTGCTGTGGCTAAAGGTATGCAGCTGGTGCCTGTGAGCGAAGGGCTTGCTCAAGACATTGTGAAGAGCACTTAGGTCAAGGTGTGTAGGAGGTATAATCGGAAGTTCGAAGTCTTTGCTCACTGAGGCGGTGCCATCTTTTGAGAGTGGCTGCTGCAGCGATGACTTCCTCTCTGGAACTTTCGGCTTCCTTTTGCTCCCCCCTGGAGACAATGGTCCTGAAAAGAAAGCTGTCGGAAAAGAAGAGGTGGGCGTCTCTGACTGGCTGGAGTACCCACTGGAGGGTGAGGCTAACCCTGCCAACTTCTCTGGGGAGGCCAGCTTAAACTCATTATCAACAGAGGGGAGGGATGGGGTTGTAGCTCGTGATCCAGACTGAGACGTCTGGGATTCAGAGCTCTCTGGTGACTTGATGCACTCTATGACTGTAGTACCCGTAGCAGTGCTTGAATTGGACAAGGACCTATAAGGATCGCTAGATTTCAAGTCATTCAGAAGCCAGAGGTCTGCATAGTGAGGTTGTTCAGCACCTTCATCTTTAAAGGAGGGGATACTGGCGGTGTTAAATGGAGCGTCCTTTAACCCGCCATCATCCTGGTTTGGCCAGGGAAGCTCCTGCTTGGCTGGCAGGTTGGGGCCTTCCACTCGGGAAGGTGTGTTTGAAAATTCAAGGGGCAGCTTCATCTCCCTGGCAGTGTGAGAGACATGCTGCCCACCACCGATCTTTGGTTCTTTCTTGTCAGGAAGGTCGGTGCTGCCCTCTGATTTCCTCAAAGATGAGCTGCGTTTTGGTGGGGCTGGCTTTGCCTTTGGTTTCTTCAGTGAGATGCACTGCCGTGCCTGCCTCCTGTGGCTCACGCAGTCCTGCCAGGCACAGTCAGCTAGGCTGGAAGTCATGCTCCCGGTCTGGCCACTCTCAGAGCCTGGGGCTGCATAGTTGCAAATATAGCTTTTATTACCCTTCAGACCACAGTCAAAGTGCATGGAGGTATAGTATCCTTCAGTATCCACAGAAAAGTGTGAACTAGTGTCTGCCTTGTCAGAAGGGGTCTTTTCAAGGAAGCTGTCATAGGTGGCCATGCTGGTAAAGCTGGGACATCCCAGGCTGTCTGCCTTTGGGCGCTCAGGGCTGAAATCCTGGCGACAGGAAGCGTCATGGTGATGGTGCAGGTAGTTCCACTCACTGTCACTTGTGTTGCTGTTGTTTGGGTCATCCAGTAAATCTGCCACAGTGGATGTGAAGGAGCTTGCCCTGTGGCCCCTGACTTTGTCTGTGTGGTCACCAAACTGCTCTGTGAAGACATTGGAGTCTTCATTGGCATTGGGAGCAGTATTGAGAGACAGCTCAGAGTCACAGTGTGAAGAGCCTGTTAGTGGAGGAGAGGCAGCAGGAGGAATGATTTCAGATGTCTGAGAGGGACACGTGGAGCTGCTCCCACTCCAGTTGCCACTGGAGGACTGGTGGTCATCTTTCTGGTCCATGTGGCTGCTGAGCAGGACTCCTGCTGTGGAGATGGAGTGAATTGGGCTCCCAAAGGTGTCTGAATTGGATGAAATTTCACAGCTGCCTGAATCGACCGTCCTTGACAACCGCGATCTCCCCCTCTCACTGATGCTGTGTTCGGGGCTATGCAGGTGCTGAGGACACGTTAAACCAATGGGCTGGCACTCCTGTGAGCCCTGCTTGATCTCCTTCCCCTTTTTTGGGATCCTCTCCTGACCAACTAGGAAGTGCTCTGCTTCATACCCTGCATTCTTGGTGGTGGCATCCTGATGGCCCTCGCTGGCCCGGGCGCCCTCTCGGGGAAGGCTCCGCGAGCGGATGCGGTTGCTCACAGTAGCAGCAAAGACCGCATCCCCGTTGTCCGCCAGCACCAGGATGTTGCCAGTGGAGTGGGAGAGGGAGGCAACAACGCTCTGCCCCCGCTGGGCACGGATCCGTCGCCGGGAGGGAGCAGCTATCAGGATTTCTTCCGTTTGGCACTCCGAGTCCCGGGTCCCCAACCTCCTGTTGCTGGAGCCAGGGAATTCTGGGTTTGTGTGCACAATCACGTTGCGCTCTCTCGCCACTGGCGACTCGTCTGAATCTAGGACACATGGAAAGCTGGGTGAGTGGGACAGAGCTCCACATTTCCCAGCATGAGACAGCCCGCGGAGCAACCCAAGAAGATATTATCTGCTGTATTCTTTATTTTTTAATCTTTCTGAGCATTGGACTAAATTTAAGTTTCGTATAAAAAATGTATAAGGCTGACCTCCCACTGGTAATGTAGGGAAATTCTAGTCTTACAACATGACTTCTGCAATGTGTTCTCAATGTGGAGCTGAGCTTGCTGTGCTAAATATTAAGACAAATACTAAGTTTTCAGTTTTTATTACTCTATTTCAGCTACTTAAAGTTTTCTGGAGTGGCTGCTGGACAAAACACTCCATAAGTGTCTAAAAAGAATTCTGTTCATCATACCTGTCTGTTCAGAATTTCCATTATCTGCTTCTTTACTATCAAGAATATTTGCAAGACAAAAGGATCTTTCCTTCATAGGTTCTCCAATTGCTTATTCCCTATGATAAACACATTTCTTCTGCTTCCAATCAAGTTTCATGGCAACCGACTGAAACACCAGAGCCATCTTCAGGTGCAAATAAATATTAAGAAATATTCTGTTAGTTTCATTTTGAGTTAATAAGAATTTCACACTGAATTTGCCCCCAACAGAGTTGCTCCTAACCTACCCTGACAAAAAGTGAGGTAATTTGGTAGATTTAAGGCAAATATCCTTGATAATAAAGAAGAATAGGAAGGAATTGAGGAGTGTGATAAATAAAAGGAAGGTTTAGCAAAACTCTAGTAGAGTACCAGCAGCTGTATCTGTGGTGGATATTCAACACCTCATCTAAGTTATCCAGCCGTTTTGACAACTCATCATCACTTTGTGGAGTAACATCTGTCAGTTCTTTACCTTAAGCTCCCCTGACACAAGAAAAAACTTTCACTTAATCTAGTTACTTTTTATGCACATAACTATGGGTTCATAACAGAAATAAAATGAAAAAGAAAAAAAGAACTGATTAACATTTACACAATAAGAGCTGAACACGTACATCTATATTACTCAGTAAGGCCCCCAGTCCTTCAAGGCCATATGGAGTAATATAGCTTTTCTTACTGTAGTAAATCAAAAGAACAAAACATGTCATTCCTAAACTCTACAAGCATTTACACCTTCAAGGTTTTATTTCTTTGGAAATCTAACTACCAGCTCATATCTCTGCAATTTAAGTTGGTTAGAAAGCTATCTATGGAAGAGTTGTATTTATACTACACCTATTTCTTGTTGCACTCTTCTGGGGATGCCAGAGATGGTTTTCCTCCTCCTCAACTTTCGTCTCCGCTGTAGTACAGATTGTGAATGAACAAGAGAGCAGCGTATACTAGCCTCTCTGTCAAAACCAACTCCTGCAACCCATAAATAGGTCTCATTAGCCTTTAGAAATAGTAAACAAATTTTCATGGCTGGAACACAGTGGAGGTATGTGAGCTTGGATTAAGCCTGTGAATAAACATAAGGGAGCCCTTATGCAGCTCTTATGTAAATTATATCACAGTATATCACAGTTTTATGTCTAATTCCAGCTCCCCCTCAGCAGCCTGGTCTGCCAAAAATAACAGAAGGCATGAAAAGAAAAAGAACAAAAAAAGGAAAGAAAATCAGGAAGGCAAATAGAGAGCCCTTGGTAGCAGGGCATCTTTCTTACAGCTATTTATCCATCTGTCATAGGGACAATGACAGTAACTTATCTTCAAAGCATTAACTGTTCACCTGTAGCCTGACTTATTTTATAAGCAAATAAGTGTAAGAAAACATTTTAAGGTTATGATGCCATATTGCAGTAGTTGGGTGCTTCTTAGGAGACCAATATGCCAAGGGAGCTAACATTTCAAAAAGGAAGGAGACAGCTAAAATGGGGCTAAGTCACCATGCAAGTTTAGAGAGCATTCTCTGTGACAATGAAACATGACTAAGAGTGACATTAACGGGGAGCTGCCATTTACTTGCAGAGATCAAGAAGTGGCCTGATTTTCCCATGTGCACAGCACACGGTGGGAGTCTGCCCAAGTCATGCAATCAAGGTCCTCAGTTTAGATTTAGAAGCACAAGTTTCTGAGTACATTTGTTTATGACCATACAGAATAGGTGAGAATTCATTGTTTTCTTTATGTTTCCATGGCATTAGCAAAGGGAAGTGTCTTTCAGTTTGATTTTACGCTGTGTAGTCAAAAAAACGTTAAAAGGAGGCTGAGCAGAAGGCCAGTGCCCATCTGTGCTGGCTTTTTGCACAACTGTACACTCATTCATGCTCTCTAAAGTTGACATGGGACAGGTTGGAAAAAATGTGTCAGGTCCATAAAAACACTAACATAAGGATTGCTGGTACAGTGGTTTGTAATCTTAAGAAATACAAACAAACTAAAGCAAACAGAAAGAAAAAAATCCTGATAAGAAGCTCTATTTTAATAGCGTATAATTATAGAAAACATAATTATACACAGACATACACATACATATTACATTACATAACAATGTAAAACATTAAAAAGTAACTTTCTTGTAAAAGTTCTTCTTGAAATCTACTACAGTGAAATAGAGGCTTCAGACAGATGTCCTGTAACCACCAATGCCCCTGGAATAAGCAGAGGAAGAACTTTCTTTAATATGGAACAAAAGTACCGTAAACTCCAACAACAATCATTTTCAAAAAAGTGAACATTTCTCAGGGTTGGGAGAAGCTTAAAAAACAAAAACAGAGAACTAAAAGCAAACTCTTTGAAACAAAAAAATCAATCAGCATAATTGCTGGTTTTCCAGCAACTGTGAGTTAGCTGAACATGCTCTGTGTGCCAGATGCACGGGGGTCATCTCCGAGAGGAAAGTGGAAGAGGGTATTTCTTCCCCGTGATGCATACAAATTATTCCCATTAGTGCTAATGAGAATGATGCACATAAACATCCAGAAGATTACATACCATTCTTGATCTGTAAAACTGATCAGTGGAAATTTGGTTCCAATGTATGGCAGGTGGAGTCTAGGCAAAAATGGCTATTACTGGAAAAGTTAACATTGGTCCCAGACCTAAATGTCCTCGGGCTGCACTAGGTGACAATAGCCTTGTTAGAAAGCCTGCACTGGTTAGGGTCCTATACTGAAACTAGAAGGAGCATCATTTTATCACCAGCTTTACCTTGTGGAAATATGCCACATAATCTCTGACTTTCTGTGGGGATTTCCAGAGGTAATGTCCAGCCTATGACCTTGACCAGCTGGCTTGTGACCTGCAGCCCAGCAGGGGGTGTGCAGGCAGTCCTGCCACCCAGCTGCTTGCCCTGCTGTGGCCAGAGCACTGTCCTGGAGAAAGGGACACCCATGCCTGGCTGCCACCTCCACAGGGAGGCAGAGCTGGTGGCACTGTGCAGTGTCACCTCTGCCAGGAGGGAGGGGAACTGGGACTCTGTTGCTGTCACTTGGGAGGATTCATGCAACTGACAGTGGAACTGACAGTGGAGCTTGCATGGGACTTGTGACCATGATGCTGTAAGCCCAAAAGCCTTGGTTGTGAGCTGAAGCTGGACTGTGGGCATACAATTTTTTCCAGCACCATGGTGAATCCTACAGCCTGTCTTGCAGAAAGGTTTGTGCACCACTGATAGACATGGGGAGTAACAATGGATGTGAGGGGCTGTGACCTTACCCCAACCCCTCAGTTACTGGGAAAATAGAATTAAATATAAATATTTTCTCTGGAGAATTAAGGTTAACTGAAAGCCCCCTGCTTTTTTCCTGATTGTTTACACTGAAGTCTATAACTGTGAAAGTTAGCCCACTTTATGCTCTTAAGTTAATCAAAACTTGGTACTTGAAAATATTATTGAGGAAAATTCAGATCAACTTTATGTTTACCATAGCCCTCTGGAAGGAAAGAAAGAGAAAAAGAGAAAGAGAAAAACAGCCTGATTTTTGATTCTGGAAATAAGTAATCTATCACATTTAATAAGTGATATACCTGCTGCTTCTATAAACAAGTTCTCCTTCAAATAAATCTAGTCACATATATCCAAATGTTATAGAAATAAAGAAAATACCATTACTATACCTTCAGCATAGATGCATTTAAAGAGATCTCAGAGCGATGGTTTGCATGCTACACATTCATGCCTTGCATGTTTAAAGCACTGCAAATAGTAGCCTACATTCTCTAGTTTCTCTTCTCCTGCTACACATGATAATCATATGATTAATTTTGGTGGCTTTCTGCATTATTTCAGTCAGCTACATTCAAAAAGTTATTTGAGGTCTTTGTTAATACAAATTGTAGGTTATATACACAACAAAAGTACATTGTTTATACAGGGAACTAGAGTTATGTTACATCATATAACATGACTGAAAATATGGGCCAGATTAATCCTAGATGCAGCTTCAGCAATTCCAACAGTCACGCATAAGGGATGAATTTAGCCCACTGTCTTTCAGAAACTAAATCCTCAAGCTAGGATCTTTGCCCCAAGACTGCACAATCCTGTGACTTCAAATAAATTAAACAAAATAAGTACTTGACCTCCCTTGAACCATGCAATAAATACAAAGAGAAATAGAAGAAATTTGTACCAGTGACATTGATGGGGATAATGCAAGAAGAAATCACTTGAGCATCTTGTTTCATTTTCTCCTCTGGAGTTGGGAGAGGTAGTGCTTTACTCCAATTGGTTTGTTTATCCAGTGTAGAAGGGATATTATGTATTGGATTTTTCGGCCTCTGCCCTAACATGACATCTGTATCTTCGTCCTCTGGAGGATGGGACTGCAAATGAATACATTCAAAATCAGTGTCTCCCACTCAGGCACACAAGGCTAATTTTGAAACAAAGCAGACACACAAATCAGAAATCAATTACAGAGATGCAGGAAGGAATCGTTCTAAGTCACACAGCACCAGCCATTCTCCAATGGAAACTTAAGATCCTGCTGATAGGAGAAAAACACCTCAGCATACTGGAACTCAGCACATTTACAGTGACATTTACAGGCCATCTCTGTCAGAAGGGGCACATCCTGCACTTGTGCACAGCCATGGCAATCGTGTCCTCAGTTACCACAAGCATTAGACATGTGGGTTCTCATTTGCAACTGAGAAGTGTCAGAAGGTCCAAAGTTTTAAAAAAGGCCCATCCATACCTCAGAATAACCATTTGCATTTCATTTGTACAAACACAGACGGAGAGCAGACCACAGTACAGCCATCCACCAGCTGTGGGGGGGAGAGTGGCAGGTGTTGGCAGTGCTGGGACAGGGAGATAACAACCAAAGAAAAGAGTATCCACCACCAGAAGAAATTCAAAAGATTGTTTAGAAACCATGCATATTTTTATAGAATACTATAAGAAATACTAGATGCTGAAGATGAAGAAACAGAGGGAAAAGTAAACAGCATGAAAGAAACACAGATGGTTTATTTTCTTTTAGAAGAAACAACAAATCCCCCAATACCCTGTCTTGCAAAGAGAAATAAAGCAAGTGCGTTTTCGTGTGGTGCTGGCTGCCAAATTGGGTTGGGGGGGGGGGGGTGTTTCTTTGTTTGCAAAAAAAAAAAAAAAAAAAAAAGTTTCTGTTTTGTTTGGAAGGAACAGAGGGGAGAAACTTACCTTTACCTTCTTTTGCCTAATTTCCCTCCCTTCTTCCATTAATACATTCTTCTGTAAGCTGTGACAACTGTTTGGCCGGCTCAGGACATCTGTCTGCCTCTCATTTTTTAAAAATGAAGTGCAATCCCTTTCAGACAGGCTTTCTCCTCAGTCTTGAATTCCCAGCTGCCTAACTACCAGCCTTCCCTCCTTCATGCCTGCTGTTTACACTTTATTTGCTGGTTTTAGTTTCGGTAGCAAACAGGGCAAAAATGAAATGTTACTCTAGACTGCCGTGGCAGAGCACTGAGCAGGTGGGTGTTGAGCACCGCAGGATCATGCCCTTTCTGCCATTGTACTTTTGCCACTGCTCCGCCCAGGCTCCTCACAAATCCTGCGGGAATTAACCATCTCAGGTTTGCCAAACAGCATTTACGTCCCGGCCCCAAAAGCATTAAAGATCTTAACTCTGCAGCTACTATTTAAACTGTGGGAGGGCACTTACTTACCTCGTCAGTGTCACCTCCTGCAGCACCCCCAGACCCAAGACAACACAGGTTTCCTCTTCTCCCGCCTGCAGAAAACCCTCTTTTCCCACGTAGGATTTCAGTCAAACATTGCAGCGTTCTTTCTGCCTGCAGCTTTTGTGCCGATTCCCGGCAGACGTGAATAGCTCATATAAACTTCAAGCACAAAAGACTTTGTTTCCTAGGTAACTCCCCCCCCGCCCTAAGTTTGATGCATGCATGCAAAAAAACCAGCCTTGCACACACGCAGAGGCACATGGGGACACACACACACACACACACACACACACACACACACGCTGCATTTGTTGCTGAATTCATCCTTCCCTGGATGACAAAGAAGTGCTGGACAAAGCAGGCAGAGTGACCCTGGCTGCCAGAGCTCCTGCTCTCCAAACAGTGGCATCACCAAATGGCCAGAGAATAAATACCTGCTGTCAGTGTGGCATTGCCCAAACCATTTCCTACCGTTTAGGAAAAAAAAAGAAGGGACAGTTGCAAAACATGGCAAGAAAATTAAATGCAATTGCTAACGCTATTGAGTCTGTCTGAGTTCAGGCTTTTTAAAGGAGGTGATAGGGGGAGGCAGCTTTGCAGCCTTGAGCTCCTGAAACCTATCCAAGGTGTGAAGAATGAAAGAAGGGGGGGAAAAGTTATTATTGTGTCTTACTGACATGAGAAAAACCGAAATGGCTTCTTTTAGCGCAGTAAAGTTAGCAAGTGAAAAGCAAGCAAGAGGAAGGGTTAGGATCTGGAAGGGAGAAGAGTGAGACAGGGCTGTTAATTGAGGATTGCTTGTTTTTCCAGTACCTTTCTACTCCAGGGGGTCATGTGGCAACACTCAATTGGGGAGGGCGAACGGGTGCTGTTAAACTATAAATGTGAAATGTGAAAAAAAAAAATTAAAATTAAAAACATACACAAAACACTTACTGTAAAAGCACATAATTTTTGTCTGGATAAATTAGCATCAGAGCCAAAACAAGCAGAGATTTTCACCTTTTTTCCTATAGATGAGTTTATTTCCCACAACAGATTGGTTTAGATCCCTGTGAAGTCTTTACTGGTTTTGCTTACTTGAATGAGACAAAACTGTAGTGAAATTGGTTCAGCCTCCTTGTACAGACATGCTTGAATTGTCCCAAGAATGCCTTGTATTGATTGGGTAACTCAAACTGTGTTCTGCCTGGAGCTGAAGTAGTGCAAGATACATATCCAATTACATTATAAATTTAAATAATTTCATAATGTAAAGGATTTTTTTTTCAATTTTTTCCTTAGTTTTAAGTAAAAGGATATAAATAATGATGCTGACGGTAATTTATCAAATACATTGATTGCTTTGTGTTTCTGATGATAGCTCTGTTTCTCTTAGGTTTGCAATCATTGTGACAGGGTGACAACAACCAATTGCTTTTTGTCACTTTTTGTAACACTTGAAAGGACAAATAGCAATGGCCACAACGTCCTGGGTCTTGGTGAATCCCTACACCTCCAAAATCCTCTTCTGTCAGAAACTCTGGTTTGTTTGTGACAATGTCCAGTTTTCAAAATCAAGGAGTGAAGGACAACTGACTTCTTTTGAAATTGGAAAACAAAAAAAAAGATAAAGAAAACAGGTGTGTTGACAAACTCTGGAAATCTCTAGCATGTGTTTCTTGGTAGGGGTATGGTATTTCTCCATGCATTAGTTAGACTAATAATGCCAGATAATTCTACAAATGTTTTTCCTCCAGTCATTATCAATCATTATCAACACCACTGTGACAGATGAACAAACCTCACTTTGAAAGACTTTCCATTATATGGTCTCCTTTCAAGGCAAAAAGTTGTAGTGAGTCTCAAAAGGCTTAATCCTGCATCTCATTCTGTTCTCTTCCTAGAGATGCAACATCTCCTGCTTTTCCCTGGTTCCTGTGTGTGCATGGGAAGCCTCCAGATGAGCTGTCCGTAAGGCTTACAGGAGACCAGAGTAGGAGAAATCAAAAAAGAGCTGTTCCCAGTGAACATTTCCAGCAGCTTAGTTTTTGCCCAGGCCAGTGGAAAACCAGTTCTCCCAAGCTGGGAAAAGTCCTTATCTCAGGAGCAATATCTCTATTCGTGCAACAAAGGCTGCACGAATACAGGAGATACTGAATACATCAACAATTTCAGTTTACGTAACTCCTCAGATACCCAAGGGTGGTCCTCTGACCAAGTTTCCAGACACCTGCTCTAAGCAGACCGACTTCAGGTACCAGGATGAAATTCAGCTTCCTCATGGAAGGTGCTAGAAGATCTCTAGGGAAAGTCAGGACACAGGGAGACTAATGCTGCTGAGGTGACAAGAGCTCAGGAAATTAAAATCTCTCCAATATCCAATGGTCTCTTTGTATACTGTGATTATCAGTGTACAAAGAGAAGAGGACAGGAGGGACCTCCTGCCCTGAGCTTCAAGCACAGCAACATTCACAAGTCACTCAGGGGCAAACCTGTCCATAAGAGAAACAGCGGGACCTCAACTTTGGTCTCAGAGATAGCAGTGTGGGCTACAGTCAAGACAAGCAAGATGTGGTTACCCATCTGTCTGTCCCATCAGTGCAGCTCTTCCCTACCTCACCTGTGTGCCACTCTGCCAGGTGCCTCTGAGAAAAGACCTGTCTGGTTCCACATACCTACAGCCATCCTTTGATGTGCCAGAGGCTCAGCTCCCTGCTTAAGCATGGCAGGACAAACTTCCTAGGTACATTCCCATCATTAGAGATAGGACAAAAATGAAGGTGACCAGCAGAATTTCAGTTTTTGCTGTCACAGTTGTGCTCCTGAGAAAGGTGGTCCTACCACTGCCTTGCCAAGGGGTCCTGAGGTCACTTAGTGCCTATTCCCATGTGGTGCCTGTCATTGGGGCAGCTGAGGCATGCCAGCACAGAGCAGCAGCCTCAGCATTTCAACACCTCCATGCTGGGGGAGGGAGTGAGCTGCTGTTTTTCAAAAGTTCCCATTCACTCAGAAAACCAGAATATCTCTAAATGTCCTGAGTAAACACGTAATTAAGCAAGAAATTATTATTATAAACCCGAGGCTGTTCTGGTCTGATGGGCAAATCTGAAGTTAGGCAGTTTTAAAAGTGAATTTCTTTTGTGTGGGTGTGCTTGGCAAACAGAAACAGTGATAATCATTCTGTTAAATACAAAGCCAGAATACTTTAAGTGTGCATTTTTCTTTAATGGGCTAAGATTGCTTTGAAACTAAACTGGTGCATAATTGTTTGAATAGGGATTTGTCACTGACATATGTGAGCATTTTTATTTCCTGAGCTATCCCATCAACCTCACTTGCAGAAGTGCTATTGTGCTCGTGGAAACTGCCTTGCAGTAAAAAATCTTGTTGCATATGCACGTGACCTGATTTCTCAGTGCTCTGTGTCACTTCAGTGTGAAAGTCTTTCGTTTCTGTGTGCTACAACAAAATAGTCAGATGTCCAAGTCTGACTAGTCTTTCTCCCTGTAGAGAAAGAGATAGTGGCTCTGCTGAGGAGCAGTTCAGCTCAGCTTCCTTCAGTGCTTAACTTGGGCTGAGATGAAGCACCCCTGAACACTCACACCCTGATTTTAGGAAGAGCATTACTAGCACATATGTAAGTTAGGACTCATCATTGGGTCTTGTCTCATCATTGAGTCTCATCATTGAGACAGGACCCATCATTGAGTCCTGTCCTGATGGTATTTTAAGGAAATATCATCAGGACAGTGGCAAAGAAGCAAATCAGCCGTAGACAAACTTGCCAGCCTGGCAAGTTATGAGTCTGTCTCATTTATTGTCCCAGAGCTGGGATCTGTAGAAGGAAATGAATGGGTCAATAAAAATGCCACTTATGCCACTCTTCTCTTTTCCATCCCTCAAAGCTCTGAGACACAACCGTTGTTGAGCATTTTCAACATATAGGAAAGACTGGTTCAATAAGCATAATTTGTGTTATATCATGTACCTAGCCATGCTTATCTATAGTGATTACCTCACAGGAGATTCTGGGATTTCAAATTTAGTGCACAGGGCCTGTGGAACACAGTTCAACGGTGATAGGAAAAACATAAACCCAAGAATAAAGAAACAAATTTTCCTCAGTTAATTAAAGATTGAGAATACTAAAGCCTCATCAAGAGCATTTATCCTCAAGCTGTTTGTTGAATTTAGACATGGCTGCATTGATTCCTTCCCTCTCAGCTGTGTTTGATTAGGCAGGCAAGGCATTATCACACAAGAGATTTGGGTGGCAGAGTCACAGCCCCCAGCAGCACAGGCTGGCACAGCCTTGGTGAGGGCAGGAGGTGGCTGCTGCATGCTGCTGCACAGTGTTATGCTCCTGAGGATTATTTCTGACTTCTGCTGCCTAAAAGCTGCAGCTAACAAAAAGCATAAGAGATCAATATTATTTCTAACTTCAGGCTTCTGTTGCAGTAGGTGGGGGACATTTCCCTCCCAGGATAATCTTACAAATATAGTGGGTGATATTCACCCAAGCAGAGCATCAGCATGTTGCTTCAGCATCTGCAAACATTATATATTCTGTTGTCTCCAGCAAACAGAACATACATACAGTTTGCTTTCACCCCATGGAAGCACAGAAATAAAGTGTACAATACATTCTGACATGTTATTTAAGAACAGTCATTCATGCACTGGAAAGGCAACATGTAGAGGAAGTGTGAACTAGTGTTCAATCCCACGTGAACACATGAATACAGTACTGACACCTGGGGCTCTGGCTGAAACCTCTGTGTATCCCTCTCTCTGCCTGTGAAAGCAGAGCCTGCTGCTTCCTTAACTCACAGGAGTTAAGGAAAATGGTATTTATTTACATGATAGAAAAACCAGAAGGTCTAGACAAAGGAGAAGAAATACTAATAAAAGGCTAGCAGCTTTCCAGTGTTTTCAGAGCACAGTTGATTACTTAATTAGAAATTCAGAACTATACAGCAGCTTTCTTATACAGTCAGCTGATGCTGAAGAGAAAATAATGGGAATATTTCTGGCAGTGCTATTTTCGCTGCAAATCACAACCCTGCTCACCTGCCTGCTCCCAGTGTTTATATTTCTGTATGTTTCATTCTCTTCAAGTTTTAATTTTATCTGCTTGTGGGTGTTTTCTTCTCTTTTGGAGCATCACAAATGGATCAGCTAAAGTACTGAAAATCCTTTAACAATTAATGTATGGCTCCAGTGTTTTGACAAGGAAAAGACAAAACTAAGACATGTTTCATGACAGAAGTCATACCACACATGGCATTTCAGCAGACAAAGGTACAAAATAAACATCCCACAATACAGGGTAGTAGTTATTAGGGTCATTGCACAAATGGTGCTATACAAGTTCAGTCTGATGAATAAAATCAAGTAGGTTTTATTTCTAACAGCTTCAGGCAGGGTTTGCACACAGAAAGTGCAGAGCCCAACTCATGCCTATCACTTAACTTAGTTGTTTCTTACTGGGGTTTCAGCTGGCTTCAGTAGACAATGGTGTGCAAGTTAGTATATTCAGTAGTACTTCCTTCCCTTTGCTGTACAAAGCATCCTAAAGCAGACCATAGGGAATATTTTTGAAATGGCAAGGAGATGGAATAAAATTACCCAATGGGTCATTTTCCTTTCACATTTGCTCTAGCTGAGGCCTGGGGGACAGAAACAACACCCTATCTGGAAAAAGCCTCCTGCTTCTTTTCCCTTAGATTCCTGCTCAGATTATAATTATGAATAAACTGACACTAAAATTTGTGCAATTGTGAGTGTAGATTTCCAAACCCTGAATTCCTTGCTTCATCTCCTTGATTTTATTATAATAGCTGTGCCACGCGGGGATTGAGAAAGCGTGGTCCCATAACATTCTGGACTGGAATACAGAATTTTCAGAGCCTTGCTGGCTGGACTTGGGGAAACCCAAGGAAGAAGAATTGCAGAAAAAAATTAGAAGTCTGAAATGCAGTTGGAATGACACAGCATCTTCACAGTCAGTGACTGGCCTCAGCAGTGCTACAGGCAGGGTTGTCATGGGAACATGAGTGAGAAATATTTTCCTCATTTTAGCAAGTCCATAACTTTCTTATACTCTCCTCAGATTATTTTTAGTTTGGTGTGGGTTTTTCTTCTTCTTCTTCATTGGCAAAAATGCCTGAATGAATGATACTTTTAAATGTGTTTAGTTGTATATTTCTTTAGTGTAGAGAGAGACTAAGTATGCCAATTTTTCAGCTTTAAAAATGAATGACTGGAATGGATAGGAAAGTTAAGTGAAGTCATGTCTGCAAAACCATGAGGAGTATGGAGAAAGGGAATGAGAAAGCAATGGTTACTGTTTCTCATAGTCTGAGAACCAGAAGGGATATGATGAAATTATGAGGTACTGGGTTTGAAACAAACAAAAGCTACATTTCATACAGATTTTTTTAAAGTCATTGTCACAGGATGCTGATGAGGCTGAAGGTGTAAATTTGATAAAAAATTGGATTAAACTAGTCTCACAGTCAAGTCAGAGAGGTTCTTTGGTGGCTTTTGTTCTGTGTTTGATCTCTGGCCCAGGAACTCTGTAACCAGTTTCTGTATGAAACTGGAAGGATAAATCATGGGACAGTAAACAGCATAAACCATGCCCTGTTCTTATACTCTGTCCTGAAGAATTCCCTTCTGGCCTTTGGGTTAAGTAGGCATTTCATCAGCCAAATCAGGGCATTTCCTGTAACAAAAGTAGACATGAAAGAGCCTATTCCATTTCTAGTTCTCTACTCTTTCTCCACAATAAAATGATCTTGTGATGGAACAGTCCAAAACGTCTTTCCAGACCCATTTATGCCGGCATTACTTGCTTTGAACTTGAATTCATTTGTCCTTTCCTGGAATCTGTGGGGATTTGGCATCTTTCTCCCTGTAAACACAGTTGTGATTAAAAGTGAATCCTCATCTGTTGTGACTGATTTTCTCTAGTTTTACTATACAATATGCAAGATCTTTGGAAGAGCTCACAGGTACCTAATTGGTAGTAGCAGCCAAAAGGTACACACATAGGGAACTTCGACTCAGATTTAAGTGACCTGTTTTCTCAGTAAATTTCAGTAGAGGAGTGGTAGCTCCCACAGGTCTCACAGTGGTAATTTGAACATTCCTCAAAATCAAGTTTCTTATTTGAGTATCTTAATAAATGCATTTAACTTAGATAGCCAGTTTGGGAAAGTCAGACCCTGTAACTTTCAAAAATTTCCCAGCTTCTTGTTGATCCCTTTCCTAATTTAAAAGAAACACAGAAGAGGGTTCTTTTGGTTGTGTAGTACTGCTCCCTTCAGCACCTTCCCAATGCATCAGAAGAGTGGAATACACACCATACTGCTGTGCCATGAATAAAAATTCTTGTAGATTTAACATTTTTAGGTCCTTGATGACTACATGATACCATCAACTGGAATCAGATAGCAAACATTACCGGCAGCCCCTGAAGCAAGATAAACTTTTGCAGATGTCAGTCAAAAAAAGCTTATGTCAAAAAGTGCAAGCTAGCCAATTGCAGCATTCTCAACTTTTTCTTGTAACATTATCATTATATCATGAAAGCTGGCACGATATCAATTAGCTATTCACTGTTGCAGTGTCTTGTAACAATCTCTGATTAACTTCTGCCAGACAGAACATTCATGTGCAGCTTCATCTTGCCTTATTCTCTTTTATTTTTAAGTTGCCCCATTTACAAGGAGTTTTCTCAGAAATGGGCCAAGGCATTTTGAAGTACCCTGGGTGCAGTGTGTTTGCAATTTCCAAAGCAGAACATTGCAAGATGCCTTGAAGTCAATAGAACAACAGCCCTCCAACAGCTCTTGTTTGCTTCTCCGTAGGGGAACTCTGAACCCAGTCAGCTTCCAAAAGGAGCTGATATGGGTGGGCACAAAGTTTAATGTTTTCCTTCTTGAAAATAAAAAGGTGGACTTTCAGATATAGCCAAGACATCTGCATTCAGCATGATTTAATTTTGTCAACTAATACAGAACTCAGAGAGTTGCTCACTATTTGTTATTGTGTTCCACAGATGGAAGTAATGTATAAAATGCACTGGTTGTTTTCCAAACACAGCAAAGATTCAGGCCTTTAAGCACTCTCTAAGCAATTTCAAAAGCGATCCCTTGTTCCCCATCTGATACTAAGAGAGCTTTATGTTCAATAGCCTGTCCAAACCATCATCTATAATTAATTCTGATCCTTAACATGGCATCACCTTGCCTTTACCTTTCAATGACCCTACCACAGCACTAGCTTTGATGATGATTTACAAAGGAGAAACAGGTAATCCTGTTTCTTCTTTCTGTCTTCAATATCTTTTCTGTGCTGTCTTTTAACATCAGGATATCTCCTTTAAGTTGAATCATGTCCTGCAAATTTTACCTGTTCAAAATCGGCAGTGATGGCGATGCTGTCCTCAAAATTAATCAGATAAGCATCCAAAATGCTAGAACAGTCAAACTAATGCAAATCTTATTATGTATTTCATGCTTTTTAAATGAGAAACAATTTTTTTCCTATGGACTGACTGGCTGATGTTTTGGTCCCTGGGCAGGTGTGACTCGTTTACATTGAGTCTTTTACACTGTGAGTGCTTTAGCATGATAGTATTTAAATACAGCTAATACAATGGATTAGGATGAATGCACTTGGATTTTTAAACTAAGTAAACGATGATTCAATGTGGTGACTGAATCATCACTGAGCTTATAATGTACTCACAGATGTAGCATCTCTTGAGATGTCAATGTCCCTGACCTGGGAGATGCAGAACAGATCTATTACAACCTGACTGAGGGCTGGCATTAGACAAATGCTTCACTTAGAAGCCGAGTTCAGGTCTGACCTACACCTTTTAAATAATGCAATGGCTGTTAGTACAGGGCAAAATTAGCTACTATGACACTTCTGTGAGTAAAACACCCAGAGCCACAGAAATACCAAAGTCCACCTGAAGCCAGTGGGAATTATGAATTATGGACCTAATCAGAGTTAAAGTTGTCAATCTAGCATGTTTCTTTTCATTTAACAATGATAAATACCATATTGTCAGCACTAACTCGATTTCAAATCAGTGCTGCAGTGGCAAGTCAGCACAGATATACAAGACCAGATCTTCAGCTGCTTGGCAGGTTGTAAGGACATGTGTGAGACATGAAACATCTAAAAAAGTGCATGGAGACAAACATTGGCAAACAGGACTATGAAAAGTGTAGCTTCTTGTAGCTGGGGTCATGCTCCTGGACCTCCTGCACAAACACAAGCCTCAAGCTGGCACTCAAAACCCTTGAACTCTTTGCTCCTGGCAATGCTAATGCCAGGGCTGAAATTACAGCACTTTCTGAAATTCTGGGAGGGCCCTCAAAGTGCTACCTCTACAGCCTGAGTGGTGAATGTGGAGGACTTGTGGAGGAGTGTGTGAATGAGAGCATATGTGTGCTGGCGACGGGTAAAAAAAGAAGAGGTTTCTGATTGAAAACAGCGACCCTGGGGCTGGCTGCTGGAAGCTGTGACTTGCATTATGCTGCTGACAGTCTTTAAGGTCAGCTCTGTTGTACCTGCATCAGCTTGGGGAGGGGCACTTGTGAAGCACTGCCACACTTAGGTCCCACCATGCTAAAACTGTATTTGTTTGTGGTAGCTGTAGTGACAGACTTACTGGTAGCAAATGCCGGTCCTTCGCTTGCCTCTTTTGGCTGCAGATTGCAGGGAAGGGAGGGAAGGGGGGAGCCACCACAGCAATGGGGCCTTGGACTTTTTGCTCTCTGTTATCACCTCGGCTTCGATGTTCTGTTTTGGATGAGAAAGAAGACACAAGTCTTTCAAAGTGTTAAAAACATACAATTATCTCCACTAACAGCACAACAGAGACAGGTACAGGGCAGTGGACTCCAAAGACGAAATTTCCTCTCTTCCCCAGTGACTGGTACAAATGATCCCTGTTGCAGCTGAAGGGGAGAAGCACTTACTGAACATCCTTGAGCCCAGAAGAGCAATGCCCATACAACCACCCCAGCTGAAGCTGTGCTGCAGCTGAATTGTCCCCAGATTAGATTTATACCATTTGTCCCAGGAGACAGTGGAGCTTTCTAGGCACTTGGGACCCAAGGCCTGATTTCCAACAGGAATCTGCAGCTCCTGTTGCCTTGAAATACTGAGATGCAATAACTATGCCTGCATCCTCCCCATATGAAATATATCACTCTGAGTGGAAAAACCAGAAACACAGCTCCAGGTGGGATTTTATTCCCTGGCTGCATGGCAGTGCTAGGTCCTGAGCATTGGCTTGACATCATGAAGGTTGTTGTAGTGGTCATGCTCAGGTTCCAGCAAGAAGGAGATCATCCTGGGAAAGTCAAGATCTTTATCCACCCTAGGCCCACAGGAAGTCTTCCTTCAGCATGGGCTCACAATATTCAGTCCTCTTCCAGCATCAGTCCCAAGTCTCTGGAACTTTCCAAGTGAATGGGAGAATGGATTCAAGGACTTCCCATCTCTAATTTTAGGTGACAGTTAGATAGTTGCTGTTTGCATGGAGTGCTACTGAAAGGAGATAATGTATTCACCCACTCCACTAGCTGTGGTCCAGTCAACAGTGTTTGCTGCTGGCATAGCTGTTTTCTGACCTAAAATTTCATTTTAATTTCTCCTGGTTAAACAGATAAAGAGATGATGAAATTCTGATAGAAGAGAGAGCTGAGATGCAATAAACATGTTTAGAGTAAATTTCAGACTAAAATTTCATCCTCATATATGCAGTTATCTGGGAAATAAGATAAAGCAGCACATGACAAGCTGCCTGCTAAACCTGCACAGCTGCCATAAATTGTGGAGGGAAATTGCCAAAATGATGATTTGTAACTTTAAAATGATGAGACATTTTCTGAAGCTGCCTTACATGCTGCTGTCAAGATTTCTACTGCCCACAAGATGGCAGGCAAAGATCAGCCTGGTTCTGGGACAATTGCAAAGCAGAGCTGCTGAGAACAGAAAAGAACTTCTGCTCTACTCCAACACTACTGTGGTTGCAATTTGGCTGTATCACTCTCTGCCATGCCAGGAAGACATACTGCATCCACAGTGTGTTCGTGACCTAAAACCTGCAGAGATGGTCAAATGTGGTAATTAATTGGAACATCTTATCCAGGTAACAGATGCTCTGCAGTTCTAAGAAAGCAATTATTATTATAAGCTAATAAAGTAATAAATGAGGAAGGCAATTAGAGCTGTTGGTGCAAAATGCTTCAAGACAGGAGGCTGCTGCTGAACATTTTAAGTGTGACCTGCATGGGTTTTCTCCCTCCTTATGGCACAAAAGACAGACAGGCTTGTTTGCCTGCTTTGTCTTATGTCTTATGATTTTCCCTTGGTTAGGTTCCCAGTGGAAACTGACCTTTCCCCATCTTTTGCCGTCCTCTTAATGTGCTGTTGTAGGACCATCCAGATGTTTGCATCTAGTAAATTCTCTTTATGGGAGGAATCCAGGAGCCTGGTTATGACCCTGTTGCTCCTGCTTCCTCTCTGTATTGCTTTGAGACCACAGGTCTGCAGTTTGTTAGGGAAGTCAGAAAATATTCCCTAGCCTGGGGAGGGGAGACCTGCCCAACCCTTCCAAGCTGTCCAGGAATCTATCACCTGACTTTTCAGCTGCCACTCTTGAAGGACACAGGCATCCTCCAGTATCATGCTTGGAAACCCTGCACAGACATCTCAGTTTTTGTAGAGATTACTACCACTGGGCTCCCATTTAAGCCCTTGTGAAGGGGGCTGGGACTAGATAATATTTAAGGTCCCTTCAAACCCAAACCATCCTGTGATTCTACAGTTCTGTGATTTCTTAGCATGAGTACCTAAGTCCCAGTGTAGATTAGTGCCCACAGTCCCATGTGATTGTGCCTGAGCATCCTTCTGCTGCCTGGAGTGGACCATGGGGAGGTGTTATGTGTGAGGAGCTGGAGCAGGGGGAGCACCTACCTCTGCGCAGGGCTCGCAGGTGCTGCTTGGCGTGGTGGTGCAGCTCCTCCACGCAGGGCGGTCTGGTGGAAGGGAGAAAGATGTTTCTTTGCTGATGCCAAGGTGCTCGGTAATAGACACTCAGTTTGCTCTCTGCATCAAGGTTGGAGACAGCTGTAGAATAAATAATAGAGTGCAATGTAAGACTTCCAGTCTCTCTTCCATCAACCTAGCTGAAAAGGAAAGGTTCTTGTTTGGAACAGCATTGTCAAGAACAGGCACTGGGTTTGTTACAGCACCTTTACTCTCAATAACATAGCAGTAAACCTTATCTTCTCTGTGTTTCCACATCATGTTAGAACCAGTTAGCCTTTAGGCAATGCCCTTTTACCAGATTGCAAATGGCTCTATGAAGGCAAGGAGGTGAAATGATACTATATCGGTTTTTTGATAAAAATGGACAAAGGAATAATAATTTTATAGATAGCAAAACAAAAATGCAAAGAAGCTACACAATCTTTTCACAGTGACATTTTAAGCAAAGGCAGAGGTCTTCCATTTACCCATTCTCCTGCCAATGTACACTTTCACTACATCATGTTACACACAACTAGTTTCTGACACAGGTTGCAAGTTCGCTGCCTGCCGGGGCGTAACAACTGAGATTAACTGCTTGCCCTGCTGAGAGACTTTGACTGTCACCTATCAAAAGAGGTTTCTTTAATAGACAGGGACTTCTGAGGGACAGGAATACTTCAGTTCCTCTAAAGAGAAATCCCAGAAGTCTGCCTCTGAAAATTATATGAATCAAGTCCACTAAGGGTTTGAGGGAATTTCTCAGGAGTGCTGTGACTCATAGGAGTCCCATGGACTATTCCCAGCCTCAGGGTACACAGTGGGTAGCTTTCCAAGGGCTAAAGCAGGAGTGGAGGGCCATGGGAGAGGCCAGCACTCTGCCCCAGCCAGCGGCAGGGAGCAGGCTCATCCTCAGCCCACATAATGCAGCAGAGCAGGTGGCACATCCTCAGGTATAGCACTGGGCATGATCCTTCTACCACAGGCACGGATACAGACTAACGCCAAGGAGCTGCTGCAGCTGTCTTGCTCACAGGACAGCACAGTGTGACACAGGCAGGCACCCTCATGCACAGGAGGCACCTCCTGGGTTTTCCTTCCCAGTCAGCAGCCAGAGAACTAGTGTGCTTCACACTGGTCCCCCCACTGGCCATGCACTACTCTCCTTTGCATATTTGAGGGCTCTCATCTACTTTCCTGTTTGTGCACTCTCTTATGCTTTTTTGAGTGGTAGCCAATGCACCAAGGCAGGGAACGGCTCTCTGGTGGAGATGCTTTGGTTTTTCTTGTTTGTTGTTTTCTTTAATGCAAAACAACATTCATTCAGCCTATGAAGGCATACCAGTGCTTTGTGTAGAGAAAGAACTGGGAAAGTACAGTTGGAGAAGAATGAAGGAGCAGACAGAAGAAGACAAACCTAGGAATCATGCTGCCATGTGTAGGATAATGACAGACTATCAGTTACCTCGATTAGAATAAACCAAAAGTTCACCAAAATTTGTAGGTGTCATGATGGGGGTGGTGGTATGATATGATGAACAGACCTGCTGAAGTACAGGTTCTTGGAGCTTCAGCAAAAATGAAGGGACCCCAAACTGTCTGTCTGGTAGGGAGCCTTGCTTTGCTTATCAGTGGATTTTTGCATGTGGGGTTTCAGTCATTTTTCAGTACATTTGTAGTGCTGCTCCATGCAACTGGCATGGTGTCAATGCAAGGAATGACACTGGAGGGAGAAAAAAATGATAGAGGAGGAAGGTAGTAGGATGAATGATGGCAACCTGTCAGTGCTTGTACATCATGAGGATTTACTAATTAAATTTTTGACATTGCAAAAACTTAATGTTGCCAAATTGCAGGCAGAGCTTTTGATGGCTTGTCTGTCTGTTACCACTGCAGTGACGAAATGCCTCACTCGCATGAGCTGATTTTATATCTCCTTTATCCCTTGAAGGTAACAAAGCACTATGTCTGTTTTACATACAAGGTACTGAGGCACAAAGCAACTCGCCCTGATCCTGATCTGAGCCACACTTCCTCCTTGGGAATCTCAGCTCAGGACAAAAATTTGTATGCAATAGTAATAATACCCCACCCATTCGTTGTATTGCCTAGGGCACGTGATATTCATTATCACATAATGTACCCTGGAGGCTAATGAAAAGGCAGGCACAAGCAGTTCCTTCCTACTCCCAGAAAAATCTGTCTAGACTGAAATGCTAGTAGTTGTCTGTGATGAATATCAGCAAGTGAGTGGAAAGTTTTACCTACTTACGAAATTTTCAGATATTTCATCAGACTGGAATAGATTTTGCTGCAAAATTTAGCTTGTAGCTCTTTTGGCCTTGGCAACAGTCTTTTACATATAGGAGTAGGAGTTGGATTAATATACTTTGTGTAAGACTTCAAAATGAAACCAAGTTCATGCAAGCTCTGCTACACACCTACTGTTGTAGACACACATTGCTGTTGACAGAAAAAATATCATGACCTCTTAGCCACTCAACAAGTCTCCCTTAGCCAGCAGACCTTGCACAGCTGTGCACAGTGCTGTTCCAAGAGAAAAACTACAAAAACACTGCTTATCTTCAAATGATAGAGCATTAAGAAACTTACAGTACCCTGTGACCCTAGCGATGTCTTCTCACCTTTCCCTGAAGGGTCTCTGATTCATAGTAACAGGGAATATACCCCCCTGACACCAAGAAAACAGAAATATTGCACAATACTCACTGAACTGACCAATCCTTCAAAATTCTCCAAAGCTGGAGTAGATTTTCTAGGAGCTGCAGAATAGAAACTAAAAATGCTTGCAAAAAAACCTGAAAGGGGATGCATGTTCTCAGCCTGCAGTGGCGAAGAAGCTCAGAGGGAGGGAGCAGCACTGGGTAGGGTGGAGGACAATGCTGGCCCAAGGATAAGTAAATATAAACCTACAATTAATGCAGTTAGTCTGGATGTTTGTGGAATAGCATCCCAACCTCAGAGCAGCAAAACTCTGAAAAAAAGAGGTAAGAGGGAAAAAGCTAACCAGTGAGTAAAAGCACGCCAAAAGAAGGACCTGCTTCCATTTCATCCCTTGCACATTGTCCTTTGCATCTCCTTCCCTGTCCTTTGCACATTGCCTGTTCTTCTGCAATGACATTTTGCCTGGCCCTCACTGATTGCCCCTGGGAACTGGGCACCATTGCTGGGAGCTGAAGCCAGAGGATGCAACCACAGGAGTGGACTGTGAGCTTTAAGGACTACTGAACATCTAATTTTCTTCACAGGACTGAATCTCTTACTTCCACTAAAAGAAAAAAGCCAACCCTGTGGCAGGGTAAAAGACCAGTGGGCTGAGATCTAGAAGAAATGGGCAGTCAAAGCTTTACCATATACTCCTGCTAGGAGCTGGTGTTAAATAGTAAGACTCCCTGTATTTCTGTTCTGTGAAATGGGGATAAGGTATCTCTTTCAGCCAGCACTTCTTTACTCAGTGTTTTACACTGCAGGCTGTTTTTACAGTGTCGAGCCTGTGCGTGGCTGTAGCCCCTCAGCATCATTGTAACATGCGTAATAAATAAAGCAATATAGAAACTGGAAAGCCACAGTCTTTAAACTATTAAGAGCTGGTCATCACACGGAATGAGAAAAAAAGCCAATACAGAGATAGGAAATGCTGCATTTCAGGCATCAGATATAGTCTGTTAACATATTTTTAGTGTGCGCTTCGATCAATTTAGACTATACAAGTGAATCATATAAGCTATCACTTCATTTCATTTCTGAGTTAAAGTAATTGTTTTGGTTTTTTTTGTCTTATGGGATGACAAAATGACAAGAGACCATTTAAATGGATTCCCTATTCCATTCTGGGGATCCATTAACATTGGCTGGTTTCCTAACAACCAGTGTCAAACAGATACACACTAATGGCTCTTCTCAAGAGAAGAGTTTTGAAGATATCCAAATAGCTGCTTTATTGAAGTTGATCATATTTATCATTTACAGATCCTTCTCATCTTCACATCCTCTCATTTTCTCCCTCTTTTAGCCAAGCAGAAAGAGGATCCTGCCACAGCAGAGCTGGATGTGGATGCTTGAAGGTTGTGCGGCTTTAGTGCATTCAGGCGTGGATGTTCTAATAATAACACCACAAAGGCCAAGCAAGAAAGATTTCTGCTCTATTTATTTGATAGATCCAGGGGTTTCCCTCCACAACTCCGTCTGCTTCTACAGACAGTTGCCTCCCCCATTCCCAGATCCTTCTGTTTCTCAACTTTTTATTATTTCTATGTGTATTATAGTTGTTATTACCTGTCAGGGGGAGAAAGAAAAAAAAGATAATTCCTTATGTTTCCTGGTTCAGAGAGAAAACATGATTTGTTGCAAGGTGTGAAGAAGTGTGCAGCCTGGAGGGAATTGGAGCAGCGAGCAAGGAAGTTGCCTACATGTTAAGGGCCAGCACCCAGAGCTGTCAGCCCTGAATTCTGCACAGGCAAAGCTGAACTGGCAGCTGCTGAATCCTTATTAAAGTATCCAGATTCCAAAAGACAAAACCCAAAATTAAAATGGATCAGAGTAGTGAATAAGCCTATTCCAGAGCACAGTTATGCTTAAGAGAGGCTGTAATGAGCCAAGCCTGCAAGGAGGCAGAGGTGCTGGGGGCTGTGCGCTTAGTGAAACTCCACCTCTTTGCACACTGTGCTGCAGGGGTGCAGGATGCACCCAAAGGTTGCTGTGGCCAGCAGCACCATGACAGGCTCTGCTTAGGAAAGTGCTTCTTCTCCAGCAATAAGGTGGTTGACCTGTCATTTTAGTATATGCCATTTTTCTAGGTATTTCATGTAAAAATGGTGACTTATTCTTGTGTGATTCAATGTCATAAGAAAGCTGGATTTTCATCCAGCTTTGCATAAATAGGCCTATGCCAGCAGCAGCAGAATTCAGCGTGATCAGCCTCTTCCTCAGCTACTGCCCAGGTCAGCAGTGAGTTACTGCCTGCTGTGTTTGTGTGCAAAACATTGCAAGAAAATTAATTCTGAGGAATACCAGATTATTTCAAAGACTAGGCAGCCTGGCAGCACATCCAACTTCATCACGCAATTTAGTGCATAAAT